TAGCCTAAGTCTCATATCAAACGGGATCTGAAAATTACTTTTTTTTGCTCCATAGAACCCCATTCATTTGTTTGGGCAGTAGGGGATCCATGGACTGGAAGAAGATGGGTGTGACTTAGGCCCTGTCCACACGTAGCCGGGGATCTGCCAAAACGTAGATATATTTCTACGTTTTGGCCTGTCATCCACACTAAAACAGAGTTTTTTCACACGAAAACAGATCTTTTTAAAAACTCCGGCCAAAGTGAAGATCTGCGTTTTCTCCGTTTTGGGTGTCTGCGTGTGGACAGACAAAACCGGAGTTTTAAGGTCCGCAACGTCACTTTCCGCGACAAAAAAATGCTGACATCACGTGTGCGACACTAGCCGACAGCATAGATGCCCTCAGAGCTGCGCTTGCTTTATCAATTGTCCAAGTGCTTTTTGCTTGTTTGTTTTTGCAAGCAGAATTACTGCTCCTTGCAGAAGACCACAGACGAAGGACGAGGTTAAGAATAGGGGAAGTACTGCCGCCTACAGGTCTGGCATGTCCTTAACAACGTATTTATCCGGATACGTGTGGACAGTTTTTTTTTTAAAACGAGGTGGTGTGGATGCAAGTTTTTGGAGGGGCGGATATCCGTTTAAAAAAAAACCCGGCTACGTGTGGACTAGGCCTTAGGCTCCCTATACCAGAGCTTCCCAGGGTATAGCAGCCTGGTGGTGGTGGTGGTGGGGGGGGGGGGGGGGCTTTCCTTAAAGTGACAGAACCCTGAAATGGCTCATTCTGGAAGGTACTAAAACGGTCAAGATTAAAACTGCTAGATTTGCTTCATGTCAGAGAGATTTACTGCAAAGAACTTCATGAAAATGTTTTGTATAGCCATAAAACTATTATAAGTAAAAATGAACTCCTAATATGTCCTCTTTAATATTGATTAAAACCTATAAGAGTAAATTATGAAACCAAAATTAATTCATCATAGAGCTTATCATCAAATATAATTAAAAAAACCTAACATTCAGTCATTAGTGTGAAATCTATGTAGATACTAACTTATCAAATCTAATTTTCTTCTTGACTGATCGGTTGCATGGAGAAACTATGATGAACTGAGAGCAAAGCTGAGAGATGAGAATAGCTGCCACGGGAGCCTGGAAGTCCAAACGGAGACAGTGCAATCAAAATGTGTTTTTTCCAGGAGTGTCCATACTTGGAAAAAGAACTGTATGGAAAATAAATAATGGTTGCAATGCCATAGTGAGTGCTGGGTCATAACTGAAAGTAATTGAGTATTTTATGTTGCACATCACACACTGTACGTCACATAACTGTGGAAATATGTGCCATGAAAAGAGGCATGACTAAATAGAAGGATACTTTCAAAGCGGAACATGACAAAATAAGTTTAATAATGATTCTTTTGGAGCCCAAAGCAAAATGCGTACTTAATTAATCACACATCTCTCTGTCAAAGTACAAAAGATTAACAAGTACAGAAAAGTTTTATTAGCAAACAACTTGCCAGTGTCCAAAGTTTTGTTTGGTGTCAATAAAAGTTTGCATCTGCAGCCAAAATGTTGCGGTTCGTAGACAGAAAATGATGAAATGATAGCCCTGAAGTTAATAATTACACCTAATTTAAAAATAAATTGACAACCTTAGGGTTAAACCACTTCAAACGCCAGCATTATCTGATGAAACCTAATCAGAAAAGCCTTTTAAAACACTTATTCACTGCATGAAATTAAAATGAACAAAGCAGGATTTTTGGCAGTGCAGAAGCAAAAGTGGTTAATTATCTGTGGGTTCATCCAGAGCATGTCATTCTCTTTTATCTGAATGTTTATGCAAAAACAGATGTTTAGACAGTCTTCCTTCCTTTTGCGATTACATTTCGCTCTTAAAACTGTAGGTGACTGAAGTACCTTCCAAAAGGTTGTGGCAGAAAAAGTTGATATTTCTTTCTTTTACATCAATAGAAAGCTTCAAAAATGACAATAAGTGACAAGAAGTAACTTGAACTCTTTAGCACACAATTAAAATAGCTTTATGTGCAGGTGTGTTATCCACAAAGCGAGTGATCAACAACAAAGAAATAGCAACGTATCTTGAAGCACTCCTTTCGTTTACGACAACAGAACAAAGTCCGAATCTGTCTCAGTCATTCATACACACATGCACCAACAAACACATGGACGCACCTTACTCTAAGAATTATATAACCTGATAAATGAGTGATTTAGGGCATGCAGTTGCATCAACGCCTGTATCGAAGCTGCTGTTAGACTTTAAGTCATTTATGTAAAGATTACAGGATGTTTTTACCTGAGCTAGTATAACTGATTCAAGCTGCATGAGATTTCTGACACCAGAGTCCGAGGCAAAACTTTCAGGACTGCACTCAATTTCTTCCAAATGAATAGCTGATGAAAATGCTTGCATTCAAATAAATAATACTTAAAATAAACCAAGCTGCTGCTGTAATAAAAGTATTATTTATGCTTTTACCTGAAGGTGCATTTATAAATACAAAAACACGCCTTGATAATTAATCACTCAATAAAAAATGTATTATGCTTTGTCTCATTTAAAAAAAGACATAATAAACTATGATCAGCTTAGTGATAAACTCGTCCTATCGCATCTGGAATGTTTGATGGACAATTTTGCTTAAACCCAATAATAATTTGTTAACCTTTAAAATGCTATTTATTGATTTAGAGACATTTTGACAGAGTTTGACCTGCAGCAGTTTATTGATAATCAGAAGTACAGAAAACTCGATTTAAAGATATTAGTCTAAATTTTAAACAAAGTTGCTGAAGCTAAATATTTGCCTACATTAAGTGATTGTTTTGTTGTGTATCGCCAGATCACAACTCTGACTAAAATAAGAACAAAACAAGTACATTTAAAAAAGTAACACTAAAATAACGTTCCAAGAAAAAAACATAATACAGAAAATACAAATGACACCGAGCACGAATTTAGTGAGCAAAATGTCAAAAGGGAGTAAAAGGTGATGATTTACATCTGGTAATGCTAAGCATTTATTAAATATTCTGATCATAATTACTGTTTTGACTGATATCTATAACACATTTCCATTTTGCAGCTTGTTTTCACCATTATCAGTCCCATTAAAGGATAAACCAACAGATCAGATTTACAGGTGCTGGCCAGTAAATTAGAATATCATCAAAAGGTTGAAAATATTTCAGTAATTCCATTCAAAACGTGAAACTTGTACATTATATTCATGCAATGCACACAGACCAATGTATTTCCAATGTTCATTACATTTAAATTTGATATTTATAGGTGACAACCAATGAAAACATCAAATCTGGTATCTCAGAAAATTAGAATATTCTAAAGGCCAATGAAAAAATGTTTGTTTCTCTAATGTTGGCCAACTGAAAAGAATGAACATGAAAAGAATGTGCATGTATAGCACTCAATACTTAGTCGGGGCTCCTTTTGCCTCAATAACTGCAGTAATGCGGCGTGGCATGGACTCGATCAGTCTGTGGCACTGCTCAGGTGTTATGAGAGCCCAGGTTGCTCTGATAGTCGTCTTCAGCTCCTCTGCATTGTTGGGTCTAGCGTATTGCATCCTCCGCTTCACAATACCCCATAGATTTTCTATGGGGTTAAGGTCAGGCGAGTTTGCTGGCCAATCAAGGACAGGGATACCATGGTCCTTGAACCAGGTGCTGGTGGTTTTGGCACTGTGTGCAGGTGCCAAGTCCTGTTGAAAGGTGAAGTCTGCATCCCCATAAAGTTGGTCAGCAGCAGGAAGCATGAAGTGCTCTAAAACTTCCTGGTAGACGGCTGCATTGACCCTGGACCTCAGGAAACAGAGTGGGCCAACACCGGCAGATGACATGGCACCCCACACCATCACTGACGGTGGAAACTTTACACTGGACCTCATGCAACGTGGATTCTGTGCTTCTCCGCTCTTCCTCCAGACTCTGGGTCCTTGATTTCCAAAGGAAATGCAGAACTTGCTTTCATCAGAAAACATAACTTTGGACCACTCAGCATCAGTCCAGTCCTTTTTGTCCTTGGCCCAGGCGAGACGCTTCTTGCGCTGTTTCTTGTTCAAGAGTGGCTTGACACACGGAATGCGACACCTGAATCCCATGTCTTTCATGAGTCTCCTCGTGGTGGTTCTTGAAGCGCTGACTCCAGCTGCAGTCCACTCTTTGTGGATCTCCCCCACATTTTTGAATGGGTTTGTCGTCACAATTCTCTGCAGGGTGCGGTTATCCCTAGAGCTTGTACACTTTTTTCTACCACATTTTTTCCGTCCCTTCGCCTGTCTGTTAATGTGCTTGGACACAGAGCTCTGCGAACAGCCAGCTTCTTTAGCAATCACCTTTTGTGTCTTGCCCTCCTTGTGCAAGGTGTCAATGATTGTCTTTTGGACAGCTGTTAAGTCAGAAGTCTTCCCCATGATTGTGGTGCCTTCAAAACAAGACTGAGGGACCTTTTAAAGGCCTTTGCAGGTGTTTTGAGTAAATCAGCTGATTAGAGTGGCAGCAGGTGTCTTCTATATTCAGCCTTTTCAGAATATTCTAATTTTTTGAGATACCAAATTTGGAGTTTTCATTAGTTGTCACTTATGAATATCAAATTTAAATGTAATGAACATTGGAAATACATTGGTCTGTGTGCATTGCATGAATATAATGTACAAGTTTCACGTTTTGAATGGAATTACTGAAATATTTTCAACCTTTTGATGATATTCTAATTTACTGGCCAGCACCTGTATTCCCCACATGAGTTCAAAATTAATTCATCAAAACCCAAAGTGGAAAAAACAGGAGTGACTGTGTCAGTCTACATTATTATAGCTGAGTCACAACTCTTATGTAGCAGTTACTGTAGAAGAATCTACAGTGAATCAGCACATGTGACCCCCCCCCCCCCCACACACACACACACACACACACACACACACACTCTAAAACACTAGAACCCAACAGCAGGCATCACCTGGTCTTACCTGAGAAGATGTGACCACTTAGATGGTGAAAATCTCTGCCTGGTGTTTGCATGTCAAGCTCACACTCGCACTGTGGCCCAGAGACACACTCTGGACCAACTCCTGACGTGCATGCCAGTTGTCAGCCCTGTGGCCGCACCCCCTCTCTATCGCCACCCCCAATCTACGCCACTGGCTACTTGTCACTCTCTAGGAAGTGTCCACCTTAAGTCGACATGTTTGAAAAAAGTAAAACTTTAGTATGAAATCAAAAAGTTAAAAGTTATCCTTATTGTTTTAAAATGACACAAAAACTGATGCAGACACTTAAACCCAGTCTTCTGAATTACTTTACTTTTTATGACGTTTGCAGTGTTTTATTACTCCTAGCAGCCACAACTCCAAGCGCAATAAATAGTGAACTCAGAAGGGGGTGACTGACCTGATCAGTGTGTTGAACCGCAGAGGACAGAGAGAGTCCACGGGCTGCGTTTCCGGTGTTGGACCGCACTTTCTCGGTCGTGTTTAGCTCGCCTCCCCCCTTGAACCGGGGGCTTGGGCACCGAACAGCCGCAGCAGTGTGGTTGGGTCCGGGTCCGTTCGCTGTGGAGCGCTCAGCTCCTGCTGCTGCTACGGTGCGTGTGTGAGCCTTGCCTGGTGCGTCTCTCCCCTCCCTCCTCTCGGCTCAACCTCCAGGGATTTAAGGACACATAAAAAGGCGTCAAATTACCTTCTAAAGCTCCGATTTACTTAATCGGATCTATTTAAACTGATTTATTATGCGCAGAAAACACAGGTACTGTTACAAGTTTTTATTTATGAGAGTGGATCTTATAAGGCACCTAATGAGTGAAATAGCATCACACAAAATGAATTCTTTAATCTGGCATCAACTCGGAATTTTTCAGAAAAACTGCAAAATCTTCTAGCTAATCATAAACTAATGTTTTAGGAAACATTTGTTGTTTATTAAGTCAAATATGGCTCAGCATGCACCAAGAAACAACCTATAAGTGTAATAAAATGAATGTATTTTTTAAAGTTGATCTCACCTATCAGCACATCAAAGCTGCATGGAGCTCATAGGAAGCTGAACACATTTTAAATTGTGGTTTGTGGCTAACTAGTCACACTTTTAGCCATGGCCAGCTACTTCCTCATATTAGCATATTTAGTCAAGTTAAAGCTGCAAAGGCAAGTTTGGAAAACAAATTAGCTTAAAACATGTTTCCATGCCCCTTAACAACATTTAAACATAGTATAGCAATACATATTTTGTGGAGAATGATAAATAAATAAATAAACAACTAGTATAGAATAGACTTTTTTTGATCCCACAGTGGAGAAATTCACTTGTTACAGCACCACCAACACTTAAGAGAATAATTTGAAGAAAAATAATAACAAAGGTACATGTACAATACATAAAATATATACATAAAACAAAGTGGTTCTCTTGCATTTGTCTAAAAATCTCCGCCAATACCAATGAGCCACCCGAGATTTTGAGAAGTCAAGTGGTCACACAGGACACTTCTTGGAAAGTCGCGCGATAGTCACAACATCACACGGGACTTGAGAACAGGAAGCGGGAAGTGACACGTGATCAGACTTGCCATCGTGTTTTGTGACTCAAATTCATTAAAAATGGGTAAGTACGCTATTTATTAGAATGTTTTATAATCAATAGTACTTTAAAGTTATCAAAACTGTGACTGAGTTTGTGTCATAAAGCCGTTCCGCGACATAATGGCTGTTGTAAAGTACTCCACAATGTCATAAACAGCCACCGCGCCACTTGAGATAGAACTGGTAGCTGTCTTCAGTGCCTTGGCGCTGCGCTTCTGGGACGCGGCGCTCCCAAGGGGGCCACTCTCATTAAGTATAATGGCTTCTATTTAAAATGACGGCGTGACGTGGCGCAGCCGCCTCCGGTGGGCCCCAGGCTTGAAGTACGGTGTGAGAGGCTCTCTGCTCATATTATCAGAAAAGGTGAAACAGCTGGCTGCTACCACTTCAACTTTCGGACAAACTACCAGAGTCCCAAAAAGAAATACACCATTTGAAGCCACAGCCAACCAAAATATTATGGACCTAGAAAACGATGACCGGTGTTTAGCACTATCTCGTTTCGTCTGGCGTTGCAGGTTTCTGGTTCCAGCAGAAGCATCTCAGGGAAGATACCCAAGGGGAGGGGTGAGTGTTCTGTGTTTTCGTTCAAAACCTAGCTTGTTCTGTAGATTTTCTTTAATAGCTTTAATTTGGTCAAGTTAAAGAGCAAGTCACCCCCAAATCAACATTCTTTTGCTGATGAACTATATAAATGAGTGCCTAATCATGCTGTAGACATGTATAGTCAATAATGTGGCATTTTAGAGCAGCTTAGTTCAATTTAAATATTCTGCCTAAAACCGTCAGTGTTTTGTCATCTTCAGGTAAAAACTCTACACTACATTTGAATTTAAATCTCCCATCGCTATTGGCTAAGAGGTACACTATGATGTTAGCTGGTACATTATGATATCACAGTGTTGTTGTGAGCGTGTGTGTATTTGTTAGCAGCTCCACCCTCTCGGTCTGCCAGGCATCAGAATTTGTTGCATTTTTCAAACAAGAAGTGGGAGTGGAGTAATATTCTGGTAGGGGGTGACTTGCTCTTTAAAGAAAAATTATATACAATTTTCACTGCACAAGTTTAATGACTAAGGTTACGTGTCTCATCTAACTTTATTTTAAACACATTAATTTACTGTGAAATGTAGTTTTACAAGCTAAATGACTACTGAGGTGCCACCATCTTAGTCAGTTTCTAATGATGACTAATAGATGCATTATTGTCACATCAAAGGCTCAACTCATAAAATACAGCCTTTAAGGTAGCACAAGTAGAGAAGTAATATGACATATTCTGCAGTTATATTAAAACATCCCTTACACAGTTCAGTTCTTCTACTGCTGTAGGAAGTTGCAACCTGAAAATGTCTGTATTTATAGTGCCTTTCGGGATTTTCTTTAGGTGCAGAATTAAAAAGAGGACGAGTCTGGCAGGCCAGGCTAGCTAAAACTGTCTTATAGTAAGACAAAATACACTTTTCTTAGAGTCACATGGCCAAATAGGCAACATTCAACTCACTCAAGATGTATATTTTAAAATTATTCACAAAAGTCAGCAAATATGTTCATTTACACCATGATCTCATTGTGTACCTTTAATATAATAGTTTAGGTGGCAAGCTGACAGATTCTGGTTAGATTAGGTTTGAAACGTCCTGTGGCAGACTGCAAATGCAACAGCAGAGCAAACTTGTAAAAATATATTAAATGAGTGGTTGATTTGTTTAATCAATACATTTGCAGTGGTCTCTAGTAGAAATGAATGCCTTGAAAGTCAGAAATTTACCAGGGCACCATTTCTCGGACCTTAAACTTGCCTAAATCACAGCCGAGGTTCAGACTGCAGGTTTTGGAGTCCAATTTTTTTGATATTTGGAAATCTCGCCCTGGATTGGCTAGAAGCAACGTGGCTCTACCACTGACTTGCAACGTGGATGTTTTATCTCCACAAATAACGCAAGCCTGGGGGAACTTCAGCTGTGTGGTGATGTTGCTAATGCTAACAAGTCCATGAATGTTAATTCACAGTATGACATAGATCTGTCAGGCTTTTCCAATCCTATTTTCTATCAGAAGCTAATGCAAGAGACAGGTGTACTTTCATGTTCAGCCTGCATGAAAAACTCAGAGAGACTCATTCATGATGTTTTAAATGATTTTAAAGCTTTAAAACTAAATAAATGCTAATAATAATGCTCACAGTTTAGAAAGTGTACACATTTAAAATTAGTTGTACAAGGAGAATGTCATTTTCGGTTATTTGTGCTTCTCTCCCTTTCCTGTGAGCTTGATTTCACCTTCATTTGATCCATTCTATTCCATGCTTGGACAACCGTTCTCTTTCCCACATTGTTGCATCATACCCACGCATAACCTCTTAGTGCTGAGTAAAAGTAAAAACAAACAAAAAGAAAACAACAAAATGACACCCTTGAGAGTTTCAGTGTCACAAACAAACCAAGCAATATCTTCTGGTTGTTTACAGAGCTGAGTCCCAGCAGACTGGAGATCTGCTATCCGACAGAGTGCTGGAGTTTCTCCACAGGGCTGTCCCCCAATGTTCCACACTCTGATGATTATAATGTTTTGCCTTTTTGGGAACTGAGTAAGCTGCAGAAATTCACTAAATATTTAATGTTTGCCATTAATGGTAAAAATTCTTGAAAACAAAGTTGCTTTAATGCTTAAAACCTGTTTAACATTGCTTGATTTCTCAATGCTTTCTTTAATTCTCAATAGGTTTATTTACATTCTGACCTTAATAGTGATGCTGGGCAGTTGTGCTTGCTTTTAGCACCCCCTAGGGTCCATTAAACCAAAAATGAAACGTATTTCCTCGCTGCGTGTTTGTCTTTTTAACAACACGATCTAATTGCTGAAATGTCTCCTCAGCTTTCTTTAATGTCTACATGAGCGGTTCATCACTAAGTTAATCAAATCGGCTGTGTTCGAGATCTAAAACGTGCAGGAAACGTGCTGGAACTTCATTCCACTCCACAGCTTCCCTCAGCGGCAGGGAGCACCCGCCAACTCTGAAGTTACAGGTGTGGTCTCATGGCCAAAGAGGGCAGTGAGGTCTGAGTAACATTTGATTAACCCTGTAAAGGATAATTTTAGCTCAAGAAAATGATTTTAAAAATATGAAAAAGTTTCATTGTATCCCTTTAAACATATTTTATTTAAACATTATTTTCTGTCATTTTCATCTAGTTTTGATTTAGTGCTTAAAAGCATCCCTATAAGCAATAATGAAAATGTTGAGATGCATTTGAAGACACCTAAGTTCACTCTAGCTTGGTCTTACTTTGACAAGAATGAACGTCTAGTTCTCCAAATTGTGGCCATTCAAAGTACTATCCACCACAGGTGAGCTATTATTTCATAATATTCATAATCTTTCCAGCAAGATAAATACCTTTACTATAGCTGATTAAATAAACAAATATTAGCACCAGGAGGACAAATCAGTTAAACTGGTGTATTTGATTGGATGAGGCAGAAGTATGTATTTGTAGGAGTCTGCTGTCATGACATTTGGATAAGTTTTTCACCAAATCATTTTGTTACTGTTGAAACATTTTAAATAAATATATTAAAAGGCCCTGACTACTTATTCGGATCATTTATAATATACATGTTTTGTTCAGTCAGTGCTCAGTACTTGCACACATAAATACTGCCATCTACTGACTCACCAAAAAGTGTTTAACAAAGGCAAAAAGCCAGGAATGCATGTTTGTGACAACGCTCTCGTCACACCGGATTTCCTCATGAGCAGAGAAAGTTTGTTTTTACAAATGAATATTTTGTGGTATTGATCAACTCTGCTGCTTGTTTTGGTTTAAAATAAAGTTCCAGTGTTAAGAAATTGCCTGTGTCTTTGTTGTCGTACATGCTGTTTTCATCCTTGTTTCCTGTTGATCAAACAGAACTGTCAGTGACCTTGGACCTGGAGGTATATTACAAAGACAGCTGCACTTTTTAAATACACTTAGTAGTGATAAAGGAATCTAAAATGGTTATTTACCAAAGTCTGTTTCTAAAACTGCATAAAGCTGCATGCAGTAAACAAATAATTAATAAAATAAAGGGTTTTAAAAATGTCTTACAACAGCTTAGATCTTGGCCAGATTCTATATTGGTTCACAATCAAAGTACAATTTTAAAATTAAAAGCTGTGATTGCATTAGTTTGAACAGTGTAAATCACATTTCTTTTGATTAAGGAGAAATAAAATAGCACAAAATTCTTGACCTACATCCCCCAATCGAAACATTGTCTCCCTTTGAAAACTATTATTTGATTAGCATTTGTTTTTGACCTTCCATGACAACCTAAAATGACCATAAGACCAACACTATCCCCAAAGATGAGATTAAAGGGATGCACCTGCATCACCACCCTGTCCCTATTCTGCTCTTTTCCGGGATCCACTGATTTCCCTCTTTCCTATTAATTTTTTCTCCCCCTTTCCTTACATAATAATTTTTTAAATCACAATTTAACATATTTTTCTCATTTTAAACATATTTGTAATAATTTTTCAAAATCTTTTTGATACATTGTTTTTTTTTTTGTTTATGTGAAGCACCTCGTGATTTTTATCTTGAAAAGCGCTATATAAAGTTTGTTTTCTTTCTTTTTTTCAACTTTTTCATGTTTTCAAATTATTTTCTTGAGCTAAAATAATCCTTTACATGGTTAATGAAATTATACTCAGATCCCACCGCCCCCTTTGGCGACTTCAGAGTTGGTGGGCTGCTCCCTGCCGGTGGAGGGAGCTGTGGAGTGGAGCTGGAGTTTGCTTCCAGCACATTTTCTGCATGTTATAGATGGTGAACACTTCTGATTAATTTGATTTAGTGATGGATTGCTCCTGTAGACACTAATGAAAGCTGAGGAGACATTTCAGAAGTCAGATCAAGGTGTTAAAAAGACGAGCACGCAGTGAGGAGATAAGTTTAATTTTTGGTTTAACCCAAGCCCCCATAATGCGGGACATAAATTGAGGCCAACGCGGAAGTGACAAAAATTGCAGTTCCACCCTCATCTGCTGGGGGCTGGTGTCAGAAGCGAGCAAATCCTCATTGACTCCCATGTTAAAAATACCAATTTCACTAAACATGTTTACAGCCTGGTACCAAAACATGTTTTTGGTTTAACACTCATGATAACTCTGAGGGGGGTGAATTTTTTTCTCACTCTTCTGTTTAAGTGTATTAAAAGCCTAAAATTCTGTATAATTAATGAGCATCAGACCCACGTGACTGCAGAGCTAGCTCCGGGGAAAGGCCTCAGTCTGAGCCTCGGTCTCGCCTGAAAGCTGTTCCGTCTCTCAACTTAGACCATTAGTTTTAGCGTTCGTGCATTCTTTTTTTGGATTTTATTTGTGCAATTGTTGGACAAAATGACTTGCTGTGGCATTAATTGCACTAATAGAGCGTCCCAAGGAGTCTCCACTTCATTTTTTGTCGGTAAGTAAAATTATATTTATGTATTTTAGGTCACTGCTAAGCTGAGCTTAGATTTTAACATGTACTGTTTTACCATGAAATTTAAATGTAATAGGGTAAACCCCAGTGCATTTAACATAATGCTGCACTTTAGAAAATGGGTTGAATTATAACATGTTGGTGGAGCTGGGTTCTTACTATCGGCTTGTGGAGCTCTCGGGAGACCTCTGTTTTCCACCCGTTTCTCCCCTCCCCACAGCTCGGCGCATCTCTGACCGCCGTGGCTTGTGTCTGCTGCGCGGGCTGCCGGCTTGTGGAGCTCTGGATGGAAACCAATGTTTTCCACCCGGTTCTCGCCTTCCCGCAGCTCGGTGCATCTCTGTCTGATCGCGGCTCCTATCCGCTGCGCGGGCTGCCGGCTTGTGGACCTCTCGGATGGAAACCGATGTTTTCCACCCGGTTCTCCCCAGCGGCAGCTCTGCACATCTCAGATCGCAGCGGCGCGGGATGCCAGCTTGTGAAGCTCTCGGGAGACCTCTGTGTTCCACCCGGTTTTACCCAGCGGTCAGCCCGGCGTATCTCAGACTCAGAAGCTCCGGTGTTGTGCACAGTTAACTCCGGTTGTAGCTAGGTTGCTACCTTCGTTAGCTTAGCTCCCACCTCCGCATTAGCTTTGGGTTAGCTTCAGGTTAGCTTGTAGCTAGTTCGACCGGGTGTCGTCAGTTGATCCCAGCCTTACAGCCACACCCTCAGCTCCACTCTCTTCCCTTTTGTGGAATTGTCTGGGCTTGACGGAACCTGTGACATGGTCAAAATGGCGGTGGTGGCCACCTCCCATTTCCCCTCAAAAACGTGTTATTGGAGCCTATTGAAATGAATTGTCCAGTATATATGTCAATGGTTTAACCACAGGAAATTAATAACGGACACTAGGTGGTGCTAAAAGCAAGCAAAACTGCCTAGCATCCCCTTTCAACCTTCATCAACAATTTTTATTATTGTTTTTTAATTATTGGCTGTAACATTTACATTCTATTTTGTGATAGACTGTTGGACATTGTTAAAGAGATTTTTTTTCAACCAAAGCGACAAATTGTAGGATAGTGACAATGCTTCAAAAGCTGTGGTTAGTCAGTTCTCATAACTCAAAAAGAATGAATGTCCTATAAATGCCCTTTTTAGAACGTCCTCTAATGTTAAGACACCTTTTAAACAAGAGACATAACCATCATCTTGGACCTTGATGAACCAGTGGAAGCATAGAATCACATCTTTATTTCATTTTATCTTTGCAGAAAAAAACAGTCACCAAATCATGCAAAGCGATATTGCATTACAAATAAAAACACATTACAAAACTAATTATATATACTATACCATAAATACGGCGTCAAAAATAAGTTAACCAATGTATTACAAAAAATAAACATCTGAGATGACATATTTGCTAAAATGTATCTTCAATGTGGTGCAGGAGATGGACAAGCAGACAGATTTAAATGATTTGTGTTCAAACTATTTGAAATTTCAGTTTTTTTATTTATCTTACTCTGTATGTGCTTGAAATGAGGTGGTTTGAGTGAAGAGTGAAGGTAGAGGATGAATTTCAGGTTGCAATAAATTTACCCACCTACACAAAATGAGTAGCTACTAAACCCAACTCTTTTATTGTAATATGACTTCCTGCTGCTGACTGTAGATTAAGTGTAAACTGGAAATTTACCACCAAAGGGAATCTTAAAGGGAATGTAAGAATTAAGTATTACCAGATATACAAATCTTGTATGTAAGGTGATATATTAGAGACGGCGCTCAACATGTTGAGGTGTTATTGCACTACGGTTTGAATGTCTTTTCATAAGAGTAATCAACAAATTACAATACCGTTGATAGATCTACACAAAGGTGAAACAAGAAATCACCAGTCACGGTTACAGACATGGATACCCATTTGAAATGCATTCATTCACCTGGTGAAATGGATTCATTCAGTCCCAAACATGTACAAGCAAACCTACACTTACTGGTGAAACAATGCTGGCTGCTTCCAAGTAAATCAATGCATCTCAAGTTGGGACCGACCCAAGGCTGCACAGCTAACAAACGTAGTTGTGAATCAAAAACATGTTTACAATAAGGCTACAACATCTAGAGAGAGGCAACGGAGGGCAAAACTCAACACTGAAAGAGCTCCCGTCTGTTCCAATAGTCACACTTAACCACTTGGAGGAGCCATGCACAAATAGTGAACACAGATAAACAAACACGTAGTTCCAACTCGCTCACAAAAAGATGAACTTCAGGGATTTTGAGACAAAAAGAGCCAGGCAAGATTAGCCCAGGATTCAGTAGTTGAGGACCAAAGTCAATACAGCTGAAGACACAGAGGAATAAACCCCTAAATATGTTTTTTTCTTTCACTCACTGACAACACCGACTGTAAGGAAACCATTAAATGTCAAGTGTTTGAATGCTTAAAGTTTGAATGAATCCAGTTACTGAATGAAAGAGTTATGTCATCGACAAGAAGCTTTTTATTAATGCTGCTGGATATTTATTCGTTAACTGGCTTATCTCCCTTTTTAATCATATATGTTTATATTTATATACTATGTATATAATGTATGTACAAGTCTTCTGTAGCCTTAAATATGATACTTTCCACATATTTCTAAATATGTTCACTTAGTTTACTATGGGAAAATAAAAGTCTTTGTTCTAATCTACTCTACTATATATTAATCCATCATATATCAATGACGTAACTCCTTCAGACCAGTTTCCTTTGTTGAACATCACACGGTTACTTACACAGGGAAGCTCAAAGTGTAGCTGAATAGGGATACGGGGAATAAATTACAGTTAACACATAGACTTTAATCTCAGACTGGATCACGTTTAATGTCAATCTAGATATCTGGTTGGAATACCCAGCATCGATGAGGGGCTGACTGTGGTTCGGTTTTGTCTAGTCAGAGAAAAGGCTGGCGAAGGACTTTCGAAGGTTGCGAATGGTTTCAGCCTTTGCCTCTTCTTGGCCATCACCGCCAGAGCTTGAGACCCCACGGAAGAAAGAGGAGTCGCTGAAGGCGTTGAAGGCATTGGTCAGGGACTGGGACTTACTAGGAAAGGAAAGGGTCAGTTATGAAGGGAAAGAATTGTGGGTTTGACGACGAGCAAAGGACAGAAGCAGAACTATGTTAAGATTAATTACATAACTGAAATTTTGCAAAATATATATATAGTTGATTTAGCACTTTAGATATAAAATATACATTTTCTTGCATAATTAACACTGAGTTGATAACATGGTTCTTACTTCAGTAGGGGATGAGTCTTTTGCTGGGGCTGCTCCTCAACAGGAGCCTGACCTTTAGTGGATGCTTCTGCTGCTTCAGCTGAAGCAGGCTCAGGGTTTTGGGAAGGAGAGGCTGGCTTGTCCTGAGGGTTAGGCTTAACTGGAGACTGAACATTAGGTGGAGACTGATTGGTTTTGGCTGGGGATTGAGCCTGTGCTGGGGCATCATCTGAAGCCTGAGTGGGCGCTGGGGCAGGGGGCTGGGGTTTGGGTGATGCTCTTGGTGGAGGTGGGGTTTGTGGTTTTGGCTGAATCTGTGGCTTTGAATTCCTGCGAACTGGAGGGATGGGCTTTGCAGGTGGTGTGGGCTTTGGGGGGAGATCTTTAGGCTTGCCTGGTGCTGCTAATGGAGAGCCTTGAGTCTGGTGTTTGGGCTGCTCTGTGGTAGTGGCAGAGGATGAAGGAGAAGCAGGAGGAGAGCCTGGAGCTACAGTGGCTTTAGCTGGAGATTGCGGCACAGCTTTGGACGGGGCTGAACTGGAAGCAGAATCTTGGGTTGACTTTGTCACAGACGGGGCCCTGGTCACTGGGGGAGGCCTCTGCACAGAAGGCTTCGTGACAGAGGCAGACTTCTGAACTGGGCTTGGTTTCTGACCTGGACCAGGCTTCTGGGCTTGATCGGGCTTTGGTACTGATTCAGATGCTCTTTTAGCTGATTCCGCTGAGACGTCCGCACTTTGTGATTTCAGTGGCACACCTGAAAAAAGAGATAGATGACAGATATATTAAAATACAGTTTCACATTTCAATAAATGCTAAATATAAGCAATAAGAAATGGCTGAAAAAAGGGAAAGTAATTGACAATTACATAAAAATTTCACACCTCTCGGTTTATTACAGCAATTAGAAAACCAGGTATCTGCAGCATTCATTCAACATTCTCATAAAGGCCTCTTACATTCACATAAATGTAGAGCAATGCAACTTTTCAGGAAGAACTGCAGCAAAGCAGGCTCTATATGTCCCAACAAAAATGACCAGTAGAGGGTGGAAGATCAGCATTTACTGGAAAAGGAGTGGCAACACGACTGTCATGCCTAGAGTTAGTTGCTTTTATGCACAAGAACCCCTTATTAGTAATGTGCTGATTGAAATGGGCAACATCGGGAGGGAGTGGAGTAGGAAATGAGAATGAGGGAAAGTCAACAAGAGAAGAGATGATAGAATATTGACTCAGTGATTCAAACACTGGCAGCAAGGCAATCTGACAAGCAGTACAAAAGAATCAAGAGGTTACACATGCAGGGTAAGAAGTGACCGGATAGGGATGCATTTCCAGTGACACGTTTCACTTTCCTTGATGCAGGAATATGGTTTTACATGTGCATTAAGCCCTAAATATGATTGGAAATGGCTTGCAAGATTTTCATGAATGCATGGCTCACCATGTTCATTTGGTCATTCACTTTAATTATGCTTTGTTTGGGGAAAGATGTGATCATTACAAAGCAATCATGAAAAGTCATCCCAGATGTTCTCAGACAGAACTGTTGCTATCAGACACCTAAACAAGTCTTACATTTTGTCAGAGACCTGGGACTCACGACGCATAAAAGCCAAAGAACATTGCATTTGTACAAACAGTTATTTAAAAAAGGACACAGTAAGAAATTGTTTGGATACAAACCCCAAATCTGAAAAGTTATTTTTCTGATTAGAGATGTGTCAGAGATAAATGTACAATGTTTTCATCCATTAGACCATTTTTAGAGTGGTTGCTTTGCCAAAGAAAAGGCGATCATAATTTGGTATATGCTGCTTGCGCATGAAAAGCGACATGCACTGCAGTCACCCAGAGTTTTTCTAGGTGACAGAAAAGACTCAGAAAGTAGCAAAATTAACCTAGATGCCACTTGAACACAATTCCTAGCGTAGAAGAAAAACGAGTGAGCAGCAATGCCTGTTCGTTCATTTGCTTCCATCAGTGAGCTCCAGGGCAGCTGTGGCTACATCGTAGATCATCACCACCAGGGTGTGAATGTGTGTGTGTTGTAAAGAGCTTTGAGGGGTTGTAGGACTCTAGAAGGCACTTACCATTTTTTATGTAATATCTTCTGGATTAAGAAAGTTTAGACTCTCTCATCAGCACCACCTGTGCAAGAACTGCCTCCATATTAATCTCACATTAAGCATGTTAGGGAGAGTAAGGGAAGAGTAAAGGCCCCCAAGTCAATACCTCACAGAGATATGTACACACACATAAACTTTAATGTGTTTGTGTGTGTGTGGTACCTTCTGATTAGATATACTAAAGTGCAGAAAGTACTGCATAATTAAGCCTTGTTGACACTGAATGTGGAATGGATGAAGTCTGGTTTGTGTACGACTTCTGCATAGACCAAAAATCATTTCAATTAGAGCGTTTACACTGACTATGGTGGGAATCTGGATGCGGAACTCTGGTAGGTTTCCATATGGAGTCTATTTTCTCAGGATCACATCCGTTCCACACTCGGAGTGAATGAGGGTTATATCAGCGGCACTTTTAGATCTGTGCCTACAATGTGAAAGCAGCATAAGCATTTACCCTAAAACAGATGTAATGCTAATTAGACAAAAGAAAAACTAAGATTCTTGAATTGAATGTCAGTGATTCAATAGTCTGGATCCAAGCAAATAAGGAATGATAATGTAGAGAAACAAAAACATGCAAATATTCACTGAAATCTTTGATTTAAAACCTAGAATATGTTATGTGAAGTAAAGTAAAAACAACAGTGAGTACCATTTTACAAAATATTCACAAACGTCTAAAGCAACTTTGTAGTTTAAGTACAATTTGAAGGCAATTAAAAAAAAAGAGTTTGAATTTTAACCACATTAACCACTTAAAAAATCTCTCTGGACTAAAGTTCACCAGCACAAAAATCAGAACCTGTACATTTAGCTGTTTTATTTTCCATTATCAAAATCTAAAGCGAAAAAATAAAAACATTCATGGTTTGCCACTACAAAATTATCCATCACTGATGAACTGCAGTAACTGCTTAACAGAAGCATAAAGTGCATAGCTTAAAACACAAGTTCATCACATATATCATACATGTAAAGCTACCATTGCTCAATTAGTTGAAACACCAAACGAGAGACTCACAAACATGCAGACACACAATCACTGATAAACACAACTCTGACAATAATTGCACCTATACCACTGTTTTAGTAGGCACATTTAACTTTAAACATTAGCCCTGAGCACAGACTTTAAGACACAGACGATAGCACAACAGCTGCAATCACAATTAAGAAACCATTTAAATGCATCTTGTTGCACATTTTTTGTTGATTCAACTGGGTCAGAGACATAAAAACAGCAATTGTTGAAGTAATGCTTTACTCAGGCTACTGCTGTAAGCATTACTGTGTCCGCCCAGCTGAAGCTAGAAAAACCTCTAAATTGCTTTGAAGGCAATCATGGAAAACACGGCTAACTTCCGGGGAACAGAACAAGACTACAAGCAAAGGCAAACTACTATTCTGGATGGAAATGTTTAAAATGCACTTGTTTCTTTCCTTGTTAAGTCACTAAAGTTAAAGTCAAGTTAAAATTCCATTAATTCATCACACACCGGTGAAATTCATCTCCGCATTTGACCCACCCCCGTGGGGAGCGGTGAGCTGCAGCTGCAGCTGCGCTCGGGAACTATATTCAGTGGTTTAACCCGAAACCCAACCCCTTAAAGCTGAGTGTCAAGAAGGGAGTCACTGGGTCCCATTGTTAAGGTCTTTGGCATGACCTAACCGGGATTTGAATCCCGATATCCCAGTCCCACGGCGAACACTCTAACACTAGGCCACTGAGAAGGTGAAAGGTGAAAGCATTAATCTTTATGCTTGTTAGCTAAGCAAAATAGTCTAAAAATGGTGGGGAAAACTGGCAAGTTTGTGTCAAATTAAAGGCATCTTTTAGCATAGCTAATTCTTTCTATTCAACATGACTATTTTAGCATCTGAAAGCAAAAGTTAGGATCTAATAACTTTTAAAATAAAGAAGCAATATAAGAATTCCTCAGTGAAATAATCACAAAACAGTCTGTCTCAATCGCGTTGGAAGGAAGGTTATTTTGAAGCAGAATTAATTTTCAGCCAGCTGGAAGGTTGTTCGTTTTTCTCCTTAAGAAACTAACAAACAAACAAACAAAACAAAAAACACGAAAGATAAATGTTGTAACTGTTTACAATCAATGAGCCCGGGGGTTTCTGAGTCTGCACTGAGCTAACACTCGGCGTTGCTAGTGCCAGCATTTGTGATTTGACACTCGCAGGCAAAAAGCCCCAGAGTCGTTTAAACAACCAAAAGTAAACAGGAGCGACCCATAAGTTATTTCTTGTACCCTTAAGTTGCCACATAGTATTTTTTTCTTTTACTCTAATATCAGGTGAAGCAGGCCAGGGGCTAACATTGCTAAAGGTGAATTGCGAAAAGTAGGCTCTAAAACATTGCAAACAACTTTTTCAGCTGCCAACAATACAATGGCTAAACAAAAGCATATGTGAAGTAAATAATGAGTCAGTTGTGGTATTTTATTTCCTTTAGTGAGCAGTCCAGTACCATAACAGGAAGCTAACAGCAAGATGGCAAGCAACCACACTTCCTCTACACTAATATTACCGTAATTAGTGTAGTAAGTTCTCCCAACCGTAAAACACCCAAGAGTGCTAGCACCAGCTGGCATCCGCCATGGAACTCACGAAACGAGAGTAAAAAGTTTTCCTTAGAAACTTGGCCTGCATTTGCCGATGACATTCTTACTTTAGTCCTACATGTTGCACCTTTAAGTATTGTTCAAAAACTAGAAATGGTGAGTTATAGAAGTTTTTCTACCAATTTAAATACATTTTTGGAGGGAATGGCATGACACCCAGTACTTTAGAATCTCTAAAGGGATCTGAGTTGCTTTTTAAACGATTCAAACAATAATTTGTCAACATGCTTTAAGCCTTTAGCTGCAGTACTTTAGCTCTTGACACTGTTCAGACCACCTTGAGATTGAGGACGTTGGCCAGAGGTCCTGTTTGGATCTGCCACTCCTTCCTTGATGGAACCACTCTGGAAAATGTTGAGGAGGCAGGAGGCAGAAAGAAGGGAAGAAAAACAGTTTAGCTGTGTACGATTACGATTTCTTTTATTTTAGTTATTGGATTGTCTTATCTTGTTTGTGGCTGACTTAAGTAAATCAGCATGCTTTGAGCATCAATACACCATTCATTTAAGTATCACCTGTTGTGGTTGCACAGTTGTTGGCTTCTGGCCTTGTGGAGAGCGAGCGGGTGAGCGGGAAGCACTAGACGACCGTCTGGCCAGCGCTTGGTTCATCTTAACCACCACCACGTCCGAAATAAGTTGGCGATCTTCTGCCTGATGATCACCAATTAGCTGCATAGATGAGCCCACAACCTGAATATAAGAAAACAAACTGTCTATTAATTAGCTATTTTTTCATGTAATAACAAAGCAAGAACATATGAATAAAATTGATTTAAAAGCATGATGAGCACAATGAGTAACAGTAAAGAAAGATTACCAATGAATTTGAACTTTTGCTCCAAACAAAGGTATTTGGTTTGTGCCTGGAAGTTTCTTGTGAATTAGATTTTACATATAAAGTACAAAATTACATAAAATGTACATGAACTCCAGGAATCCATTACTGACATGTACCATTTTGGTGCTATTCAAATGTCAGGAGTCAGGACTGATTAATGTATTTCTCCCACCACATGGGAAACCTACAACAAGGAAAATCTTTTACAACAACAAAGAATATTATTCTTAAAAGCTGCAGTGGGCTGCAATTTCATGCAGGTCACCGAGTTTAAATTCCATAATAACCTTTCAGTCATTTTGTAATTCAAATAGTCTGCGAGGAAACCGGACCTCTGCATCTCCCACTGGTTCTGTTTTCAGCCTCTTGAAAGTGTAAAGAGCAACAAAGTCCCTGTAGGAAGAGGGACATGAAAGATGAATGGGTGTAGAGTTGACCCAGGAGGCTGGACTTGAAATCCTGCTGCTAGTGACCTACATGCAGCTGATGTTTGTGTTGTGGGAAGAGTTTGGAACAGTGGGGGCATAAAGACAGCTACAAGAGGAGGCTTATCCTGTAAATACTGTTTGGTGGAGATGATTTAAGAAAAGACAACTTCTAATCTTTGTAATTAAAGTTATAATAACCTTTAAAAATGTTTTAGAAATTAAATTTGAAGAGCTGTGTGTGAAGCAGCTAGGTAGAGAATCAGAATGCCTTCACTTGTCACAAGTGGAGTTTAAATATCTCAGGGTCTTGTTCACGAGTGAGGGGAAGATGGAGAGAGAGATGGACAGGCGGATTGTTGCTGCGTCTGCAGTGATGTGGGAGCTGTACCGGTCTGTCGGGGTGAAGAGAGAGCTGAGCCGGAAGGAAAAGCTCTTGATTTACCGGTCGATCTACGTTCCTCCCCTCACCTATGGTCACGAGTTTTGAGTAGTGACTGAAAGAAAGAGATCGCAGATGCAAGTGGTCAAAATGAGTTTTCTCCACAGGGTGTCTGGGCTCTCCCTTAGAGACAGGGTGCGAAGCTAGGTCATCCAGAAGGGACTTGGAGTATATCTGCTGCTCCTCCACATCAAGAGGAGCCAGTTGAGGTGGCTCCTGAATGCCTCCCTGATGAGGTTTTCCAGGCACGTCCAACTGGGAGGAGACCCAAAGGAAGACCCAGGACACGCTGGACGGACTATGCTTCTCGGCTGGCCAGGAACACCTTGGGATCCACTCGGAGTTTACTTTAAAATGTATGCTATTCTTGCTAATGGAAATAACATTGAATTGCATGTGTGTATGAAATGTGCTATACAAATAAAGCTGCCTTGCCATAGGGGCTGGCCCAAGTGACTGGGGAGAGGGAAGTCTCGGCCTCTCTGCTTAGGCTGTTGCCCTCGCGACCCGACCCTGGATAAGTAGATGAAAATGGATGGATGGATGGATGGATGGATGGATTTTGAACAGCCTCTACAATGACTCAACATTCTCTCAGGCTTTATATGTGATCACCTCATCCCTCCAGCCACCTGTCCAGCCTGTTCAAACCTCATCTTTTGTTCCATGCTTCTTCCACAATTCAAGTTTAATAGGTTTTGAGCTCCTGTCTGCCCAATTACATACTGCAGCACTACTGGATTGGTTCCCCTTGCTATTACCAGCATGTTTATTGGCTTTAAAAGGGCAAGTTTTCACTAAACATGATGGCATTACCGCTGTCTACATTTTGTTTTAGTTATTCATGGCTGACAAGCAGAATATGGAAATATTTAGTGTGGTTATTTGATGGAGAAGTGCCCCAGTAAGCAGACTGGTTGTATTCTGGAGTTAAAAATGTGCCTCATCTTCTCTGCTTTGAGACTTGACCAACAACCTGAGCTCTCTTCCTATTAGCCAGCAATTCAATATTTCTTCACCTGCTCTTTTTGTCATTTGTCTCTTCCTTACCCTGATTTTAATAATCGTCTGCTGTCTCACTGACCTTGCACAGACCAAACAATTCCATCAATCCTAATGTTTAATGTTCTTCCTTTTTTGTTGTTATTAATATTATTAACTGGTGTTCATTATTAAAAACTGGTCTGATGAGTCCAGATTGACCCTGGTCCAGAGTGATGAAGTGATGCACCCATCATGCTTAGTCACTACTGTACAAGCCTGTGGGGGCAGTGCTATGATCTGGGGTTGCTGCAGTTGGTCAGGTCTGAGTTCAGCAACAGGATGTGCTCCAAGAATGAGGTCAGCTGACTGCCTGAATATACTGAATGACCAGGTTATTCCATCTTCCCTGATGGCACGGCCATCTTCCAAGATGACAAAGCCAGGATTCATCGGGCTCTAATAGTGAAAGGGTGGTTCAGGGAGCATGAGACACAATTTTCACACATGGATTGGAAACCACAGAGTCCAGACCTTAATCCCATTGAGATTATTTGGGATGTGCTGGAGAAGGCTTTGTGTAGCGGGCAGACTCTACCATCATCAGTGCAAGATCTTGGTGAAACATTAAAGTTTCTTTCCGGAGTTTTCCCCTTTCAGAAATTATGTATAATTTTTCAGAAATCTGTAAAAATGATTATCCTATCATGTACTGTGATTATAATCTAAGCAACACATATTTTTTTTATGATAAGCACACCTCCGGCAACGCAGAGCTCCTTGCGATAGGAAACTGAGCGCCGACCAGAACTTACCAATAGCGTTAGACTAATGCTTACATGTTTCAAATTTAAGGAGTACCTCGGCTGATGCAGAATTGATGAACCTTTCACAGACAAGTAATTTTCTAAAATATAAATATATGAGAGCACAACATGACATGAGAGTAATTATTGTAAAACAACGTGTTTTAGCTCTGTCGGCTACAGAAGGACTAAATAAACAAGAAGCGTGATGCCGCCATCTTAAAAAAAAAACAGTAGTAGACAATATTTGTGTGATATGCTTGTCAACCACTAGATGGTACCATCGAATAAGATAAATACTCCAGAAAGAGACATTAATGCAACACTGGATGAAAATGTCAAAATGCAACAGCGAAAACGCTCTGTAATAAAAGCTAAAGGTGGTCCAACAAAATATTAGTGTGTGACTTTTTTTTGGTGGTGCCTATTTTTTGGTTGGGCAGTGTATTATTATTACCACAAAACATTGCTTGTTTGAGCTACAGCTAAAGATAGGCTGAGCTGACATCCTTGTTGGATGAGAGGAAAACTAAGAATGTTGGAGCACACGGGAATGTTCCAGGATGTACTGGGAATATCCAGACATTGAATGAATGTCAAATAGATCCTTAGCTTATTGAATTATCTGATACTGCACATGGCTGAAAAGAGTCAGAGCTATTGGGGTTAAGTGGCCAGTAAGCATGCAGCTCTTTTATATTTATGTCTTGGCTGAGTGGGCTGGGCAAACCCACCTTTCCAATGTAGGGCTTTATCAGGGGATTGCGTTTGGCCATTTAACAGGGCTCCTTGCCCATTTAGAGACCCAACAAAGTTTAATTTTCTAAATTGGGAGCCATAGTCACGCCCATCTACTTCTGAACCATGGGTCCCTGGAAATAAGAAAAAATGTATGCAAGTTAACGGGGCTATAAAAGCTATTTTCTAATCCCGTTTGATATGTGTCATGGATATATGCGAATTTTAATGACACATTTTGATACCAAAAAAAGCACTTTTTTCAAACGGTGGCAAGAGTTTTTTTTAGGTTTTGTGTGAAAAGACATGTAAGAAGTAAATGGCTGTAAGTTTAGCAAGCTTCAAATCCTTCTTCCAGGACAACAGAAGGAACATTACACTTGAAGCCAGCTTTGGAATATGTGAAAGCACATCTGCATGATCAGACATCATGAATGATGTTCATTGTATGCATTCTGGTTCACTAAACCAGATCACATAAAGCTCCTGCAGTTTCAGTAAAGCTATAAAACATCCATATAACCACAACAGATAACAGAACTCCTGTAGACCGATGTCATCATGTTGGAAGCTTCCAAACAAAAGTCAAGAAGACATAAATACAGAGTTCATATGAAAGCGTTGTCAGCAGTTTAGTCAGTTTTATAAATCTCCTTGAGTTTCTCTTGCCCTCGTGATTTATCCTCACCTCTATGATGTAGTCGTTACCGTCCTTTCCACAGATGGCTTTGACTGCACAGATATCCAGCCCTCCAAAGATGTCTGAGCAGGTATCCACCCATGTTTTGTACCTGACACAAAGACAAATGTGTTAGCGAGCAAAGAAAAACAACTCCCTTCTCTCTGCAGTCCCTTCATAACATATTAACTCAAACAATAACTGGTGTACTTTGCTGACAGAACAGTGCTTTGTTTTGCTTTACAACCTGCCGAGAAAAGGTTTGTACAATCAAGTGAACAATCAAATAGAAGTGTGTCAACTCAACACAATATATGAGTGCAGCTGTTGCTTTAAGGGTCATTCATCCTGACAGTAAACCTTGTGCAGATCTTTTTTGCCCAAGGCTGGTTTGGCTCTCTGGGAGACAGCACACAATCAAACTAGACCTAAATCCAATCAATACCAGCCTACAGGATGTTGTTGCAGGTAATCTACTTGCTCCACTATCATATAGTCCAAACCGCTTTAGCACACATACAAAGTCAATTTCACCAACTGTGAGACTTCAGAAACTTTGAAGAATTATTGTTTGTTTATTTTACATTATACTGGTTGAGGCATGCACTAAGGGATAGATTGTAAAGATTCCTCATTCGCAGGAGATTGTGGGTGCTTTAGGAACAGAACAAGGCTATTTGAGACATCCGACACTTAAAAAAAAAAAAAAAAACTTGGTGAATCTGCCACATGACACCTTCTACTTCTCAAATCCTTCCCATAAAGTGACAGGTCAGAATAAATGTTTGTAAAAACAGTCTCAATCTGACTCCATGAGTCACGAAGCCCAATGGTCTGTTGCAAAATTCAATTATAGTAAAAGTCAGAGTCACATCAGGTCATTTTAATCTCTTTCTATCAACTCTTAGACATGTCTAAACAGTAGAAATAAAAACACAGTGATGCATCAGTCCACTAAACATATCATCTGAATTCTGAACATCTGTGTGTTTACCAGTGTGACCTATTTTATGCTGAATGAATCCTGTTTGAATGCATAATAAGTTATCAGTGTGCCAACAGGAGTGACATGTTTCACCGGACCAGCTGGAGCATCACTAATGCAGTAGTAGAGCTCACTTGTCAGTCATGGCTACTTGTTCCAACATAGCAGATCCCGTGTTACTTTTCCAATTACCAGAGATGGACGTTCGCCTGGAAAGGAGGAGAAATTGTACAGTAAATTAGTGTGGAAACAAGACAGCTTTAGGAATTTTCAATACAGTTAATTAATGTCAGTCTAGTAGAAAAGACCTTAACCGAGTGGTTGGAAGTCAGAAAAATCTAGGGTAGTTTTTAAAAGCTGATGGAGCAGATAGTTCAGATCTTTTCAAGTGGTTATTTGTGAACATTTTTATGAGCAAAAATATGTGTTCTAGAAAGAAATTTAAATGGCCTCTGTAGGAACAGGTCAGTTTTGGACAGATTGATGAGCTAAAGGCTAGTTTCAGCAGCGACCAATCAAATTCAAACAGTATTTGATAAAGCATGTAATTTTTAAGCTTTTTTATTGCATATTTATTTACATATCATTTTGTGGAAATTAGCAGCAGAGCTAGCTATATGTAGCTTCACTTCAATTATCACAACTCAAGAAAGCATTTTCATATTCCAACATTCTAAGGGTTTATTAAATTGTGTTCACATGAACTAGTATAAGTGTGGGATTAAAATTATTTTAAGATCGCAGAAATATACTTTGTAGTTAAACATTAGCAAGATTGGTCGCAGTGTTTTCATCAACAATGATGATGACTAAATGGTTTTGTTGACGCCCCTTTTTCTAAAAGTGAAAATGAAACACTGACGAGTTAAAAATAGCTCTTTGGTGACTAAAACGTGATGAGACGTGGAAGCTTTCTTTGAAGAGACAGGACAGGAAAAAAGTATACTGAAATGCAAATTTCTGCGTGTCCGTCGAAAGCTAAAAAGTAGCAATGCACATTTTCCTCAACAGACTTGTGCGCCGATAGCAGCAATTCCCCATCACAGGAACTCCAATCACTCAACACAGCCACTTATTGAAGATGTTAATCATTAGAACTAAGAACAATCATGAGGCTACTTTTAAATACATTTGTTACCCATGTGCTTCCTGAAAAAAATCATTGTGGGCAGACGAATGAAAGAAATCACAGTTTTAATCCATTTTATCTGACTCACAGCACATCAAGTCTGTGGAAAAACATGACTGCATTTAAGTAAGTGCATTAAGTTCTCTCAGCTGTTGCATCTCCATAAGAATTCAGCCTTTTCGGGACTTTGCACAGATGTCAGCATATTGTGACTGCTTTGGCAGTGAGTGATGTCACTGATCAGCATAACAAAGCATCCACAGTAGCATTAATTACAGTAAAAGTTTTGTTCTGTCAAAGTAAGGCATAATGTAATGCAATCAGAGGACTGGGAGAGCTGCTGTGTGATGTAAAATGTGGTGTTCAATGACCAGAAGAAGCTCTGTTTTTTACAGTGAGGCAATAAAGTCCTGTGAATTACGTATTTGTGGGGGGAATTCTACCGCTGCGGTCAGGTACTCCATTGGTAATAGCCTGAAAAATTATCCTTTTGGCTGGCCCGGTGAAGTGGAGACACACATGTCAGTGTTCTGACTATCTGTGCTTCCTCGTCGAATATTCTTTCCGTAGCGTGTTACGGCAGTTTCGCTCTTGTTTACAGGTTAGTAAGATGCATATTAAGCACAGTTTATTTTAAATAGGTGATATTACTCAAAAATACAGAACTGTAGTATAATTATTAGCAAAAATATACAGTTGTCGTGATTTTTTAATGAAAAAGACCATGTTTGTCATGATTCTGGGAATGATGGTAAACAATGGGAGGAATTTCTTGTTTACAGTATAATAACAACATTTTACAAGCCATTTACAAGCTAACTGTCAGGTAAACCAGTGGCGTGTCCAGATCTTTTAAAATGGGGTGGCCCACGTGAGGCACTACTTTGTGCATGGGTGGCACCAATGGTTATGCATTTATTTTTTTATCCCAAGCCTTTTGTGGACAATGAAAAGCCTATTTAAAGGGAATTCAGTGTGGTGGCACCTGGGGTGGCCAATCAGATTCCAAGGGTGACATTTGCTACCCCAGACCACTCCGTGGACACGCCCCTGAGGTAAACATACAACAAGCAGTAAAATAACAACTTCCAGAGGTAGGGCGTCTCTTCAGGACAACAGCCCGTGATGTAGTAATCGGTCTGCACATTTCCCCAAAGAAGCACATATCGACGAGTAGCATGGATAGTCGGAACACCAGGAAGTTCCGGTAGTGGAAACATGCTTAATGTCACTTACATGTAGGCTTTGTAGTCTGCACCAATCTTCTGGACCCTGATGTCGTACTTGGCATCTACAAATGGTTCTGTTGTACAGTAGGTCTGAGTGATGGCTACAACACTCGCAATATCCTGGAAGTCACTCACATTATCCACTCGAACCTAAAGAAAAATGATATATAATTAAAAAAAGTATTCATTCATTGTAAAAAGAGTTTGGGAATGGTTTAAGACTATGCCACTGTTTTAGATGTAAAACTAGATTTTTAGTCACATTCCTTCCGCTAGTTTTTTCTTTACAAAATTTTAGTGATAGAAATTTTAAAGGGGACATATTATGCAAAACGTACATTTTTCATCCTTTTGTACGGCCATGTGGGTTTTTACTGCCACTATAAACAACCCAAGTATAAACAAAAAAAATCTGTCCATCTGTTCTTTGTGTGGGGTTTGGTTTTAGGAATTATGTGCCTAAAACACACTGTTTCTAAAAGTCCCTGTTTGTGATGTCACAAATGAGGAAAGTAGAATAGAACCATCCCTCATGTGCGAGAGGGAGCTGCTGTCGGAGGAACAGAGGCTCTACTCTCAGCCCCTTGTAGGCATCAGAGCATAGTAGCCTGAGCGGAGGATTGGGGGTGGGGGGGTGGGGGGGGCGTGGTCAGTTCCAGCCTGTTTTCTTAAAGCGACCAATCCCTGAAATGGCTCATTCAGGAAGGTTCTGAATCTGTCAAGAATAAAAAAGCTGACATTGCTTTATACGAGAGGAACTTAGAGTAAAGAACTTTGATATCGACAATGGAACTATTATGAATTTAAAAAAGATCACTTTAAGGCTGCTTTCACTGCATGAAATGTTTATTAAACTAATCAGTTTTCCTGTAAATGTCAGTTTGTTCATGTTTTTGGATTGTAGTACCTTTCCCATTCCAGAGTGAGCATGCCCAATCTTCACCACAACCGGGAAACTCGGTGTTGTGATCTGCAAAACAAAAGAAAAAGACAAATGAGAAGCAGCAGAAACACAACAGATGCAAAGCACAAGATGTTCTAAAAACACCCTGCAGTGGAATTCAGAACCTGAGGCTACAAGCCTCATGTTTCCTGTCTGGCAGTCTTTGAAGACTAAATAGTTTGTAAAGAGCCCCCCAAAAGTCTTTAAAGAAACAAAAAAATACAAATGTGCTGTAATAAGAAACAGGGGCTTTGAAATTCTTCCTAGCATTAAAACAAATGAATCAAAAGTATGGCGTTCAGATAAATACAATTACAGTTTTAATGTGTATAGGCTTTAATGCAAGATGAACCCTAAACCTGCAGAACAGATACGTCTTAGATGAGTTTATTGTGGCCGATAAGAGTTTTCTAGGGGAGAAGAGATGAAGAGTTTTAAAAGAGAGCTAAAGAAGGTGCCAGGTTTTTTCTCTGCATTTTAGGAGGCTGTGCTTAAATTGTTGAGCACATAAGAGGCTCCCTGTGTGCGACCCTCTCAGCATTCAAGGCCAGAGTGAGAGGGGATCTAACTATTGTAAGTCTCTGTGTGTTGTCTACAGAGAGGGGGAGACAGAAAGAAAGACAGGAGAAGAGAGCAGCAGCGGGAGCAGCAGCAGCCTTCAACTCGAGTTATTTGCTGCAGCTTGAATTCAGAGTTGTACTCTAAACTTATGAAAACATTTCTATCCACTGTCGCCTCTCAGCTCTGCAGAGCTCGCCCTGTCACTTCGGCCCCGTCGTCTCACCCTCCACACAGCCCCTCTGCAGACTATCGACCTGACTTGACTTCCATTAAACTTAACGGGAAGAGAAGAGGCTGCGGAGTGTTCATCAAGTGGAGAAGCGGTCAGAGGTAGCCAGAGCTGTCATGGCCATGTCCCAGGAACGGAGCGTGCATCTGGGGCTGTGGATGCTCCTTTTGCTTGGAGCAGGCGTGGAGGAAGCTGTGGAGGGATGTAGCTGCCACCCAGCACACCCACAGCAGCTCTTTTGCAGCGCTGAGATTGGTGAGTCATTCTCCAAAGATTCATTAACTTTTACTAACACTGCTGAGTATTTCCTCATTGTCTTAGTTATTTATCGTAAAACCGATTCTCTCATTGATTACTTTAATTCAGTCGATGGAGAGCAGAGGACAAATCCATAACAAGCACTAAGAAGAAATCCGCTGAGCTGAACTGTTGGGGGTTTTCATTCCTTTAAACTGTAGCTTTATGAAATTTAATCATAATTTATGGGTGTTCCTCAAATTACAGACTAGCAAGACTTATAAACAAACAGTTTGTGTGTCATTAGCTTTAAAAACAACCTCAATCTGTCCAACGCTGCCTACCAGAGTCCCCCACCCCCCCAACAACACTCCCATCCAGTTCTTTCTTGTTTAAGCCAAAACCAACACTCTGCTTTGACTCAGAGTACTTGGCTCTGGGTTGTGGAAAGCCGGAGTATCTGCTCCTGTCGAAGGTTACACTCCAGCAGGGGAGAAGGGGGCGGAGCCAAAAGAAAGAAATGACTTTTTCTCCATCTTGTTTTTTAATTGGTCTCCGTCTCCCATTAGGTTTAGGTGGTACGCAATTTCAAAAGACTTTTAATAATGAGTCCGCATGGAATGGAAGACAGGGCCTGTTTTTCTACCACGAGGACTAAAGCCAAGTAAAATCTGGGCTAATGGGATGCAATGAGAGCCACAAACACATGAATTGTGTCATTTATGACTGAGACAAGCATGATTAATCTGAATTATATTATGAGCCTTGGTGTTTGGAGGTTATATTCTAATTTTTAGGCCTGCTTGAGTGAGATTAGATCAGTGACAAAACAACCTCAGAGAGCTTAGATACCATCAGGGTTTCATCACAATTGTGATTCTTGAGTATTGTGTCCAAACTGTCTTTAAAACAGTCATATGAACCATGAAAGCTCAGCCGTAACCTATTGACTCATTGAGTGCAGCTAAACAGATCTACATGTTATATTTATTGATGCTAAAGCTTTTAGTACACAGGAGTGAATGTATCTGAAATTATAGTTAGTGACACAAACAAAACGCAACAAGAATTGCTTTTTAGGAGAAAGAAACATTTGTGTAAAATTAAAATTAGACTGTTTGTTTACATCTTCTCCATGTATTCATGTTGCTGCGTGCACGTTTAAAGCTTCAAATTTATTTGAGATAAGAACAAGCACCAGTCACAAAAAATAAAATAGTATTAGCAAAGTTGTTTGATTCTAGCCTGCAGGTCAGGATGCTAACCACCCAGCTGCCAAAGATATGTGTTTTTTAACAAAGCAACATGGAATTTTGTAGTTTGATGGGTTACTGAAATTCAATTTACTGTTTCCATTGATTTCTGTCCTTATTTGAGTTACATATGACTGTTCTACTCAAATAATTAAAACAAACTGTTAAATAATGTTACACTTAAACCCTCCATCTTCCTCCATCCAATGCTTGGATTGAAATAGTTGCACTTTTTCATTTTACAGCTTTGTTTGAGTTTGAAAAGGTGTTGAACACTTGTTTAATTAAAACATCTGCAGTGGGCTCTAGTAGGAATGAATGCCTTGGAAAGCCTGGTTTACGCTTCTCCGTCAGCTCCGCAAGGGACAGACACGCACGGATTGACGGAAGCGTTTTGCTCTCATACTTCTCCGTCTCCTGGAGAGTGTTGCAAAGCAATTGCCTGGCAGGACAACAGAGGGCGTAGCGCTGTTCTGTGGTATCCTGTCGTGTATCTGTCCAAGATCGTGTGTTTTTATTGTGTTTTTTGTGTATATAAGAGACTTTTAACACGGACATATTTGTCTCTCATTCTCCCACCGCTTCATGCGCTCCCCACCTCTAAACCCACGTTTCCTGTCATTTAAATCCACAAATAAAATGCTTGCTGCGCATCTTTTCACTCATCCAGTCACTGGGGAATTAAACGTTCATATTTTTAGAGTTTTTTCGCGAGGTATTCTTCAAGCTTCTCCGTGTCTGCCGCTAGTTATCCTCGGCTCTCTTTGCAATGGCGGCGCTGTAAACAACAGCGGCGTCCTGACCAATCACAAGCTTGCGTAATCCGTCTCGTTCGACGGATGTTTAAAAAAGTGGGCTCGACTCCGTACGTACTTGCGTGCCTGCCGGAGCCCTACGCAAGGACGGATAATGGCGTTGCGTGTCTCCGCACTGACGCAGACGGAGAAGCATAAATCAGGCTTAGGTGTGTGTGTGGGTGTGTGGGGTGGGGGGTGTCAGATGATCTTGTTTCAGGAACTAGCAGAATGCCACATCAGAGGAGAGCTTAACACTGCAGGATTTCTTATTTCCTGATATCTGGACTTCTTGCCTCTGATTGGTTAACAGCAACACAACTATACCACTGACTCGGTTTGCTTTGCAATGTTTTATCTCCACGAATAACACAAACCTGAAGGAGCTTCTGCTGTGTGGTGGGGTTGCTAATGCTAATGGTTAGTACACTGGTGAAGGTTCTTAGTCATCCAGGCTAACAGTTAGCTTCTGCTAGTCGAGACGTTCTCTGCTGTTTCCTGGACACTAAACCAACAACAGCCTTCCCCATCGTTGGCCAAGATGGGTGAGTCCATGATTGTTCAGTGACAGTGTGACATAGATCTGTCAGGCTTTTCAAATCCAAGAGTTTCACCATCTATCATCTATCATTATCTATCAGAAGCGAATGCAGAAGATAGGTGTAGGAGACTATTTTCATGTTCTGCCTGCATGAAAAACACACAGTGACTGATTATAATCAGAAATAATCAATAAAAAATGTTGTTTTCAGTGTTCCACACCTTTAACAGAACCTAATCCACATACTTTCCTTTTTACATATTTGAATTGAACTTCAGATGGACCGAATTTCTCTTTTTGCTAATTTTAAAATTTGGACTTGAGCAACAGAAATTTTTCTTTAGAATCTGGTTTATTTTTCTCTCATTTTGTAGCTGATTATTTCCAGAAGATTTTTGCTGTTAAACCACTAACTCTAACCCATCAATCATTCAAATCAAGGAAGTAATTTAGATTTTAAAAGTGGAGGGGACACAAATTCAAAACTTATATCTGTCAATATTCTTCATTTACATAAAGTTCTACCTCTTTTCTGTAAAAAAAAGTTAAATCATGAATAGATTAAAACTGCCCTAAAAAAGTGGGGGAAATCCAAAAAATTAATTAAAAAAAGGCAATTATTTAAATGTTAAAGGGTACCTTATATTCTTAGAAACGTTTTTACTGCCAGCTTGAATTTAATAAATGCAATTAGCTAAAATGTAAAATGTTAACTGTCTGTCAAATCTTTCCTGGATTTATTCATTTCTTTTATTTTGTGAAAAGTAGCCTTTGAAAAATAAATTCTTAGTCTCTTTTTAGTAAATTTTTGTTGCACAAAATGTTAGTTGAAACAAAATTTTCTGATAACTTTTTCTTCCAAGAAACTGTCTGCCAAATGATGACAGAAATCCAACTATCCAAGGGGTCAGGCTGACCTGTAAACCTTCTTATGTTGGGGTACCGGCTTTAGGGCTTTGATCTGGTGGGTTTCAAATGTAGAAATCCACCTCTGAATAAACAGTTAGTCACGTTTCAGGTAGAGCTCAACTTTCTGTTCTTTCTGGGACCACGAATGGCAACATCTTCATTTTGTTAGTTTGTCTTGATTTATTCACTCGTGTCTGTTTTGGCTGTTTTTGATGGACAGCCTAACGGTGGCCTGAAGTTGACCTGACATCACTGTCAGACATGATGAGCTCTGTGAATAAAGCTGTACATCTGAGTAATATTCCAATGTGTGCACAAACCGTGGATGATTCACTAGTTGGTGTTTGTGTCTCTGACATTGTGTGTGTGTGTGTTTGCTGGATGGAGGCCACTCCATGCCACTGCAGCCTACATCTCTCTCTTTCCTACCCTCTCACTCCCCAACCAATTTCCATGTCTATAGGCTCAGTCTGGCGGTCTGCATACTAACAATATCGGTGTGAAAGCCCGCTGACAGTCCAGCTTTGTGAGCATGACAAGGGTGCCGATTCATCAGCGAGGGTGAAGTTACTTGCAACATCAGTTCTCATGGTACAAGTTTGCGATATTTCTTTTTGCCGTGCAGCAAAGGATGTGAACATGTCTACCTTGCAGGTGTGAATCTCCTTTGAGCTTCAGCTGCAGCAACTGAAATGGGTACTGTTGAGTAGTTTAAGGAAGTTATTTATTTCTGGGATTTTGAGCCAAAAGAATGGTTTTAGCAAGAAAACTGCGAGACAAATGATATATCTCTGCTATTGAAGAAATGTCATTCAAATTTGCTGTCAGACAACGATTGTGTGTGAAAAATGGTTCAACTGAGCTAATTTAAAACTTGCCTGGTCATGGCAGTGGCTCAGAAAACTTTTAAAAGAATTGGTTGTCCCATTTCAAACTAGTTAGAATGTTTCTTAAACAAAAGAACTATAATGCTAAGGTGCATTATCACCAGTAAACCACATAGAGCCACTTAACCCTCTGGAGGCAGGCATTGCAGATTTGCAATGTTAAAACCTACCTACCTGGTTACTCCACATACGTATTTCATGAGCATTTTTTAACTCAGAAGTACCCCTGAAGGACTTAGTTGTTCGTCCTTTTATCAAAACTTATTTTGAGCCTTAGAGGGTTAAAGAGGTACTTCCCTCATATTTTTATTACATTTGCAGTAGTCTCTGGTAGGAATGAATGCCTTGCAAGTTGTACTCGGGGCAAAAAAAGCCCAGAAGTACCTGGATCAGCATGGATAAGTCTGCTGCGACAGAGAGTAGCACAACAGGGCTGCATTTGGAGTCTTATGTCCTGATATTTGGACATCTCACATCAGATTGGCTATAGCAGCAACAAGATTCTATCACTAACTCAGTTTGCTTTGCAACGTTGATGCTTTATCTCCACAAATAACACCAGTCTGGAGAAGTTGTTTTGATATTAATTATTAACTTGGCAAGCTATCTTATTTATGTTAATATACAGTCTGACCATAATTTGTCAAACAAGCCAGCTGTGAATAGAAATCCTCTGTTGTCTTTCAAACTGTCTCCGCATGCTAAGACAGCACTATGAACAGTCAAAGCAACCACACACACACACACACACACATATATGTATATGTGTATATATATATATATATATATATATGTGTGTGTGTGTGTGTGTGTGTGTGTGTGCGTGTGTGTGTGTGTGTGTGTGTGTGTGTGTGTGTGTGTGTGTGTGTGTGTATTGCTACAGCAATCAGTCAACGGGGCAACCTGCCATACACCATCAAAGAAAAAGAAGATAATAAAAGAAATGACGAGTACCTCCATCTGCTCACATCTCAAAGAAAAGGTCAGGTTTACACCGATGCCTACCTTTTAGTTTTTATTCGTCACATTCCTCGGGTGTGTCGAATGTTTCTCTACGAACATAGAAAGCTGTGATTGGTCCCATCTAAACTTAGCTTAGCTAATAGTAGACCTGCTGAGGCTTGGCTCAATCAACCTGCAGAGCAAAATATTTTGCTACTGCTATAGTTAGCCTGGATTCTTTGCTGATATATTATATTTATATGAAGAGTTGTTTCTTTCAAGTCAGTGTCTGTTAAACATAGGTCCCAATGTGAACACAATAGTCTGAATTATGTAGAAATGGCCAGATTCACTATATAAATAAAAATGCATATTTTACAAAGAAAACTTCCCTGGATAAAAACGCTAAATGATGCAATTCACCCAGATTAAACTCCAAGGTGTTTATCTGCTTTTCTATCTAGTGGGGTGCTCAAAAAACAAACAAGAAGTCTCAGTTTCTCCTGATCTGATTTCACAGAGCAGGCTGAGCTCCTCCTTCTCTTACCAGCACACAAAACCGTGGTGTAGTTGTGTGATGACCCAAAAGGAAAACCAAGTGGGTGGTTTGCTAAGCTGTGTGTGAGGTTCACTCTGCCTCTCCTACTCTCTAATACTGCTGCTTTTTCTCTTTCTTTCTGTCGCTCATGGTTCTCCTTAACCCACTTCTGACTCTGTCTTCCCTTTAGTTGCCCCAGTTCAGGCTGGTGCATCTAGGGGACGCCGTTTACACAAAAATTTAAATAGTTGATCATATACAAGAGTTTATGTGAATAAAAAAGTTTACAGGGATATTAAAAACAAAGAATAATGTTTAGAAACGCTAGAGTCAACAGCAGACCATTAATGTAGTACATTTATGCTTTGCTGTTTGAATGGGTTTAATGTTATTCTATTGAAACAGAAAAAAGCAAACATGCTCGTTCATACTGTCATGATTACAAATGAGCCTGTAGCTGCTGCCACCAAACACGCCAAGAATAATAAAAAAAAAATCTCGTTATAAATAATGCATTACAGGTGCTGGCCAGTAAATTAGAATATCATCAAAAGGTTGAAAATATTTCAGTAATTCCATTCAAAACGTGAAACTTGTACATTATATTCATGCAATGCACACAGACCAATGTATTTCCAATGTTCATTACATTTAAATTTCATATTCATAAGTGACAACTAATGAAAACTCCAAATTTGGTATCTCAAAAAATTAGAATATTCTGAAAAGGCTGAATATAGAAGACACCTGCTGCCACTCTAATCAGCTGATTTACTCAAAACACCTGCAAAGGCCTTTAAAAGGTCCCTCAGTCTTGTTTTGAAGGCACCACAATCATGGGGAAGACTTCTGACTTAACAGCTGTCCAAAAGACAATCATTGACACCTTGCACAAGGAGGGCAAGACACAAAAGGTGATTGCTAAAGAAGCTGGCTGTTCGCAGAGCTCTGTGTCCAAGCACATTAACAGACAGGCGAAGGGACGGAAAAAATGTGGTAGAAAAAAGTGTACAAGCTCTAGGGATAACCGCACGCTGCAGAGAATTGTGACGACAAACCCATTCAAAAATGTGGGGGAGATCCACAAAGAGTGGACTGCAGCTGGAGTCAGCGCTTCAAGAACCACCACGAGGAGACTCATGAAAGACATGGGATTCAGGTGTCGCATTCCGTGTGTCAAGCCACTCTTGAACAAGAAACAGCGCAAGAAGCGTCTCGCCTGGGCCAAGGACAAAAAGGACTGGACTGATGCTGAGTGGTCCAAAGTTATGTTTTCTGATGAAAACAAGTTCTGCATTTCCTTTGGAAATCAAGGACCCAGAGTCTGGAGGAAGAGCGGAGAAGCACAGAATCCACGTTGCATGAGGTCCAGTGTAAAGTTTCCACCGTCAGTGATGGTGTGGGGTGCCATGTCATCTGCCGGTGTTGGCCCACTCTGTTTCCTGAGGTCCAGGGTCAATGCAGCCGTCTACCAGGAAGTTTTAGAGCACTTCATGCTTCCTGCTGCTGACCAACTTTATGGGGATGCAGACTTCACCTTTCAACAGGACTTGGCACCTGCACACAGTGCCAAAACCACCAGCACCTGGTTCAAGGACCATGGTATCCCTGTCCTTGATTGGCCAGCAAACTCGCCTGACCTTAACCCCATAGAAAATCTATGGGGTATTGTGAAGCGGAGGATGCAATACGCTAGACCCAACAATGCAGAGGAGCTGAAGACGACTATCAGAGCAACCTGGGCTCTCATAACACCTGAGCAGTGCCACAGACTGATCGAGTCCATGCCACGCCGCATTACTGCAGTTATTGAGGCAAAAGGAGCCCCGACTAAGTATTGAGTGCTATACATGCACATTCTTTTCATGTTCATTCTTTTCAGTTGGCCAACATTAGAGAAACAAACATTTTTTCATTGGCCTTTAGAATATTCTAATTGTCTGAGATACCAGATTTGATGTTTTCATTGGTTGTCACCTATAAATATCAAAATTAAACGTAATAAACATCGGAAATACATTGGTCTGTGTGCATTGCATGAATATAATGTACAAGTTTCACGTTTTGAATGGAATTACTGAAATATTTTCAACCTTTTGATGATATTCTAATTTACTGGCCAGCACCTGTATATCAGATGTATTCTCGTGAAACAGCATATAAAGGACTTCTCAAATCATCTCATGTGTTTGCAAACATTTAGACTTTTTCCATGTCCTTGCATGTAACAGACAATGAAGATGCTGCTTGATTGATTCCAACAATATGCATAAAAAGGCCCAGATTAAAGTTAACACACACACACACACACGCGTGCGTGTGTGTGTGTGTGTGTGTGTTTAGTCAGAAATTATGTTATATACTATGACATGTTTGTGTTGCACCTGCAGATAGCAAGTTTTTATGTTATTATTGACATTTTTATTACGCATGCAACAAAGCTGTTTCACTGCCGTGATTAATTAAGTTTGCTAAGCTGCGGTTGGACGTTTGCTATCGGTGGGAGGAGTTTGCACAAAATCACTTTTGGCTTTTTCCAACACAAGAGTTATATAAATGTGCAAATGTGCTGCCAATATGTGTTTGATGGGAGGGAAAAGCAGATCTGTAGCAAAAACTATGCTATTAAGGCTCCATTAGGCAGAATTAGACTGTGTGAAGTGGTCTAGTAAAAGTGCGTGTTGTATGTATAATATAATGAATGCACACTTGTATAATTGTGAAGTTATTTTGGAGTGAGAAAGCAGAGAGCTACTTGTTATTCCATGAGGGTTTTGAATTTCCTCCCAGAGGAGAAGAGTGACACATCCTGTATCACTGCAGAGAGTCTGTGACACTATCAGTGTGGGGAGGAAGAGGAGAGGCACACAAAATGATAGAGAAGGACACAAACCTGTCTATGTACCCATCCTTCCATACAAGACAAATAAAAAGTTTCCTTATAGCTCCTATATTCTCTACCATCTGCATCCCACCCTCGTATTTCAGTTTAATTCACCTTATCGCGTCTTACTGTCTGCCTTTTTCTGACAGTGATAAGGGCAAAAATCTCTGGAGAGAAGATTGTGTCTCCTAGCAACAGCTCCTCACCTTACATGAAGATGATCCAATACGGAGTCAAAATGATCAAGGTGAGTTCTGCAGACAGGAACAGCTGTTGGTGCAGACACGCATCACTGTCACTGTGTGAGCACAGCAGGATTTACGTGGTTGAAATTTTTTTGTCAGGAAAAGTTTGAGAAACCGATGCCACAAACTCGTGCAGGACTTGTGCATGCATGAGAGGCACAGACAACACCCTATTATATATTTTTAAATTAATATTCTTGTTTTCAGACTGTTTGATGAAGACAAAATTTGAACTGGACTTCATGGTTGAACACAATTCAAAGAATTTTTCATTTATGGATTCTGAAGCTGAATTAGCTTCAAAAATAAAACATTGGAAACAAACATTTCAAGCCTGTCTTAATCCAGTTTCCCTTTGGGATGTGACTGTTGGAGATAAACATCATTCCTGAAGCAGTGTCAAGAAAATCTTTCAAGGGTTCCCACTGAACTCATGCAAGTCACACACCTTTGGAATGATGTTGCTGGAATTCTGCTCATGTTTGAAAGATATTGGAGACTAAGTTTCTCTCAAACTAGTCACAGATGGGCATCTAAAACCCTTCTCAAATGACTTATTTGTGAATCAGAAAGTGAGGGTTTTGAGATCCACAAGACTTTGCTATTTGTTCTTATTTTTACTGTATTGTTTTAAATTATTAGCCAGGCAAGCCATCCTATGTAAATATACAGGCTGGGCGCGAGCCATTGAAACTGCCTAGTCAAGGGATAGAATCTATTGTTGAGCGCCCTTGGGTAACTCGCCGCTGACTTCCGAGTTTGGCCTGCACACTGGAGTGGGTGGCTTCGGGCAGGCCGGGATGGGAAGGGGGGGGGTTGCTGTTATTATCTCCTGGGTTGCTGGTTATTACTGTTATATATGTTTGTGTTGTTGGTGCCATGATACATTGGTTCTGTTATAGTTTTGTGTGTCCGTTTTTTCTCCATCTCTTTCTGCATCCGTAGAGGCTGATTCATGTACATCTTTTATTGTTTATTATTGTGAAAATGTGAATTTTTTTCATATCAGGCAGGACATATAGCTGAATCTATAGCACTGCACACGTGAGAGGAAAACTGTAAGGCTTGTTTTTGGTACTCAGACATAACTTTTGATTACTTTATAACCGGAAAGGACACAGGAAGAAAAAACAAGAATCTATTGTTGTCTTTTAAACCACACGCAATTGGACAGCACCAGGACCAATCACAGCAACAAACTATGTGACGTATTCATTGCTAAAGAAATCAGCTAACAAGCCAATCCGTCATGCACTGTCAAGAAGAAGCAAATACATTCTTTTTTGCAAGAAATGCCATAAAGGACTCTCTGCTCATGTCCCAAAGTAAAGCTCAAGTTTAAATTGTCCAAACTTGAGGCCAAAGCCATTTCAAATGAGTGCAGTTTCTGAGCCAGCGACATCTTTGTAGTTCTTCTAAATTGCAACTTTGTGTTTGGTCCACCCAGCAAACGTAGAGCACTGTGATTGGCAAGACATAACACTGTCTGGATCAATGAGCATGGTTAAATCAACCTACAAAGCAAAACGATTTGCTACTGCTATAGTCTGTCTTGATTTCTAAGCTAGCAAATTTTTGCAAACCAATGTAATTCCAACAAAAATAATGTATTTTTATTCTTGCAATGTTGTTTCTCCAAGTCCAGCTGCAGTCTAGTGACATAATGGCTTACCACTGTTGCTGCATGGATTACTTCAGCACAACAGCGATGCCTAAACCTAATAACAGTCTACCCTGCTGTCTCTGTGTCCAGATGTTTAAAGGATTTGACCGAGCGAAGGATATCCAGTACGTGTACACTCCCGTCTTCTCCTCACTGTGTGGAGTCAAACTGGACGCTAACAATAAAGCAGGTTATCTGCTCTCAGGTAAAGCAAGGATTTCTTATTTTTAACTTTGAACAGAAACAAAGCTGCAGATTACATCAGTTCAACCAATTCCCCTTTTTAGAGAGACAGCTTTTGTACATTTTGTGCACACTTTTAATATAGCATAAAGTTTGTGATTCAGAGGGAGAAAACCACTGAACATGTTCCAACATTTATTTTAAAAAGTCGAAACATCGGGCAAACTGACTCAGAAAAGCAGAGCGGTAATTTTCTGCAGTTAAACTGAAAATAAAAAAATAAAAAATTAGCAACTTGTTTGGCTAAATGCTGCTTTTGTGTTGACTCCAATCAGCAAGTATGTGGAGAGATGGGCGAATTTCTATTGGCCAGTGTGACCTGGTGGAGTCGTGGGACAACTTATCTCTGTCACAAAGAAAGAATCTGAACTACCGATACCAGATGGGCTGCGAGTGCAGGGTGAGTAAACCTTTCTCACACCCTCAGCCCTTTGTCTTGGAGGTTTATACGAAAAACACATCTTTAACCCTCCCACTGTCCTAATGGGTGTGACCCAGGAGTGAGCACCACCTCTCCCCTGCCACGTGGACCTCAAGGGATAAACCATCAATCCTGCTCAATGGTCAACTTTCCTCGCGGGGTCACACCCATTAGGACAGTGGGAGGGTTAACAGTTTTTTTTAAAGAAATGCTTCTGTCTCTCTCCTCAGATCAACACATGTTACACGGTGCTGTGTGCGTCCACGGGAGAGAACGAGTGCTTGTGGACTGACTGGCTGCTGGATAACAGTCTAAATGGAGAGCAGGCCCGGCAGTATGCCTGCATCCGGCGATCGGACATGAGCTGTAGCTGGTACCGGGGTGGGCCTGCGTCGGAGAAAGACTTCATGGACATGACTGACCCATGATCCGTAAACCTGACACGCCCTGCTTTAGAAGATTTGAAACAAAATAGGCCAATTTTTCTTTTCCTTTGGCCTGCAGGGGGAAAAATCTAGTACAGAGTCTTAGCAGGGTTCAGGTGGTCACTCCAACTATAACATTTGAAAGGCAGGAGCTTCGAGCATCCATCTGACTCATATATTCAGTTTTACACGATCCACTTCAAAAATATGAAAGAATCAGAACAGCAGCAGGATATTTACAACAAATTGTTTACTCCAAAAGGAGATTCGCCTTGTTTAACAAATGTGGAAGACTCTAAACTGTTGATGTGTGAGCTTTTGTAAATGAAGTGATGCAGCAAGAGTAGGTTGGCGTGCCTCTGCATACTTTTTAAGCTGTGATTTTCACCATTACTGCAGCTTTTTGCCCACACAACCTGGTGTTGAACTTTTATCCTGACACATGACACTTCACTGTCACGGCCGATGAGAACATTCAGGAAATACAGCACCATGCAGAGGCTTTAGGCACTAAAACTACAGCAAGTATACCTGTAGCTTCAACAAACAAGGGAAACTTATTTATTCCTAAAATTCAGACAAAGTGCAAAGGGAAAAAAGCAGTTGTAATCTTTTTTACAATTTTCAGTTTCTTAATGGCGTCTTCGGTTGCTAAACCCTTGATACATGGCTGTTTATAACTTTTAGAGTTTTTGTGCATCATTAGAATCAAATCTGCATTGTCACATGCCTAAAATTTTGCACACTGCTGTATGCAAAAGAAAAATGCCACTCAACAGTTTTTAACTCATCTTTCCACTTGTACATTTAAATGATTTTATTTCAAAATCTTGAGTGTGTAAATATTGTATTTCAGTTATAATTAACATTTTCACAGCTAACCAGAAATTTTCTTATAGCGTAGTTTGATCCATCGTGTGTTTCTATGTGCTGAGTGTCCTTGTTGTAGCTTTTGTCCTCTTATTTTGTGCCAAAAACCTCTAATCTAGCGCTTTAACAACAGCACTGCCACCAGTAGAAGACAAGCCTTTCCTCCTAGGAGGAAAGGATGTAACAGGATGAAGTTCACTTCTAACTCCTTGAATCAGGAGGAAGATTATTCTCCTAAGTAATGCAGATTTATAACGTTGTTCAGTAAAAGAAGACCCATTTAGTACAAAATCTGAGTCAGAAGCGACTCCCGTTTTACGACTAGATCACTTCACTAAAGTCTCAGATTAAAATGCATTATTACCTGCTGCTCCTGTTTTACAAGTCCTCAAAACGAGTTCTGTTCAGCAGTGAAATATTTTCATTTGAGTGTCATTTCACAAACCACATAATAATGAATAAATAAATTGGGACTCTAGTGAAATGTTTGTTTTATACTGAAAACATGTTTGGGTTTGTATTTATGTCTCTGTACTGTCTCAAAGTTTTCTATCTCCATGTACCAAAAAATGATTGTATATAAAATGTCTCAGTGGAAGGACGCGTCGTGTTGTCGTTGATTTCCTTCAGGGAGCAACATCAAACACAAAAAGACTCCAAACTGTAAAAGCAGAAAGTGTGTGGTAATTTCATGAATCAATTTATTTCTTTATTTTTTTTACTTTCTGTATGTATAAATTATCTTAGATGAGAAAAAAGAAAACATTTGTTTGCTATTCTAAATGAAAATGCACCTGAATGTCTTTTCTCTGATTAATTGCTTTACTGAAATAATTCACAAAGTTTCCTGTTTTTAGGTTTAACTTTAATTGAATATATTTTTTTGTATTTTACATTTTGTTCTTACTTTTAAATTAATGGGATATTAAATATATAACTAGATTTTAGTGGTAAATCTGTATTTTATTCAAAACTTGCAGAACTAACCAAATATTGGAGCATTTATGAAAACAACATGAAGTTATAGACTTTGACGTTACAACAAAACATTTATTTGAACTTAGTGGCCTTATTTCAGTCTTCTCTCCTGCTTTTTCATAAATGTTCCCCGCTTTCGTACCAACAGCAAAAGACCAAATTCACTTGTTTCAACACATTTGCAGTGGTCTCTCGGATGAATAAATGCCTTGTGAGTCTGTGGGGAAAAAGCTTTAGCATTCCTGTTTCATAGAAGCGAACCAAAGCAGAATTAAGCTGGATTTGGAGCCTTATTTCCTGATGTTCAGAAATCTCGCCTTGAAGAAGAAGAAGTTTATTTATAAGTTTATTTTTGTCACGCTCCCTCTCTCACGACGCCCACAGCCCCATCCAGAGGGCAATCAACCCAGCAGAACTCCACAACCCAGCATTCCCAGCATCAGACTTCCTCACTAACTCAGCCTGTTCTGACCAGATCAGCCCGAGCCATCCAGCCTGCCGACTTCCAGTAAGTCACTCTTGATTACTTTTGGAACCGCCGTGCACTCACGCTCCCATACGCATAGCACACCCGGCTCCTAGATCAAACCGCGTGCCAGTCTTGCCCAGCGTCAGTCGCTCCGAGCTTGTGTCTAAAGACACGCAACACTCAAACTCCCGCTAAATCAGCTCAGCTCAAACTCAAACTTTTCACCGACACAAATCACAAAGTGCTTCACAGACAAGACAAGCTGTTATGGCTATTTTGCCATGGCCCCCAAAATGCCCTGAAACGGCCCTGGTTGTAGGACCTGGGAGTTTTCAGGTGAACTGAATCCTATCAAATACATAAATATTACATGCTTATAAATGATTGCTTAATACAGTTAAAAGGTTGTGGTGGGATAAATCTACTTACCGTTTCCTGCAAGCACATGTGACTATTTTCCAATCCTGTCTGTCTGTCTCACAAATGTGGAAAGACCAAGCACTACCAGAACAGGGGCTTCCTTTTCAATTTTCAAGAAACTCCTGAAGACCCTGCTCTTCAGAGAGCATCTTTTAAACTAGCACCCTCCCTGCACCCGTCCCCACTCTCTACTGTCCACTCCTTGTTCCCTCCTCTCCATGATTGATGTCAAGTTGTTGTTGCTGTTATTGTTGTTGTTAGCCTCAAGGGCAACATGCCGATTATCACTTGTAAGTCGCTTTGGACAAAAGCGTCTGCCAAATACATAAACATAAACACAGCTTCCTGCATCTCCTCTCAATCCTCCAGTAAAGCTGCTGCCCGTCTTCCCACTCTTTCACCTCATGAGTTACTTTTGAACTATGCAGATCAAAGGGATCTATTGACCACAAAACGAGCGGGCGTGCACACTGTGGGGCCACATCAGTGAGATGAGGTCACCGAAGCACCTTTGACATTTGAATCAATACGTTATAAATTCCTGGTACCTAAAAATCAATACCGGTACTCAACAGTACAGATGTTCGATACTTTCGAGCGTTTAATATATAATTACATCTCTTTTTTAATTAAATATACATATTTTTCTCAATACATACCCATATTTTTTCTATTTTATATATATATATATATATATATATATATATATATATATATATATATATATATATATATATATATATATATATATATATAATATATGTTATATATTAGACACTGTCACCGGCCACTTTTTCAAACTTTTCTCTACTAGCCTCCTCTTTTCCACCTTGCTCCTGTCTGCGAACCTCTTCAGTAGTGTCCCTGCTACCATCTCCTATGATTGCCAGACTCTTTTGCACCAAGGACTTACCTCCCTGTTTGTTTGCCTGAGCGGCGCGTTGGCCCGGAGCCAAATGATTCCTACCAGCGATGGTAGGAATCCAGCGATGTTTATCCGTTCCCGGGAAAACGTCGGAGGAAAAGAGGTAAATGAGCAGGAATTCAGGTGAGAATAAGACTTCTTTTAAAGCGTGGTTCATCTAGTAAACATCGGCGTGATCTTCTAGCTTCTTGCTCTTTGTTTGGCAACTTGAGCGCCACTTCTGCATTCCAGCCAGGCCGCGTTGCGGCACGGTTTCTCCGTCCAAGTTTTGTAAGGTCGGTTTTATCCCCATTCCTCAGTGGTTTCTCCTCCTGTTCCCTCCATAAGTGGTTTTTATAAACACCGTGGATCTAACCCTGCTAATTTACATCCTCTAACTCCAGCTGTTTCTCTAATTTCTGATTCTTCCACCTCAACCTCACTCAGCATGGCTCTATTAAATAACTGCTCTGTTAACAATAAGTCTTTCCTGCTCAATGATCTAATTCTCTCTAAAAACCTGGATTTTCTTTCTGACTGAAGTTTGGCAGCAAACATCGATTATTCTGGTCTGATTAAACTCTGCCCGAGTGGTTATTCTTTTCTTAGCCAACCCCGGGGTTCTGGTCGTGGTGGAGGCCTAGCTGTTGTTTTCAGAGACCATCTTCCATGTAGCTCTACAACCTCTGGTCACTTTGCTTCCTTTGAACTGCAGCTGATTAAAGTCGGGCGTAAGGACCCGTTCTACTGTGCTGTGGTCTATCGTCCACCTGGTCCAAACGGTTCTTTCCTTCAGGAGTTTAGTGACTTTCTATCCTCCACTGTGAAGCTGTCCAGACTGGTGATTGTTGGTGACTTTAACATCCACATTGATGATCCCTCTGATCACTTTGCCATGAATTTCTCCAGCCTTATGGACTCCTTCAGCTTTACCCAGCATGTTTCTGGCCCCACACAACACCAGGAGGCACACTCTAGACCTTGTTTTTACCCTGAGTCTAAATGCTGACAGTGTTTGTCCTGAGGACATTTATATTTAAGATCACCATTGCATTTTCTTTAACTTGTCAGTTTCTGCGTCCCCACCTCCTGCTCGCCGTATGGTTAGTTCTCGTTTTCTTAATGAGAGCACAGCTAGATTTTTTTCTGCTGCTTTTGATCCACCCTGTTCTTCTGATAACGGCCCAGATTCCTTAACTTCTCAGTTCAACGAGCACTGCCTCTCCATTCTGGACAATATCTGTCCTGTCAGAACCAGATCAGTTCCTGCAGTGAACCCTACTCCATGGTTTAATGACAGCCTTCGCAGCCTGAAGCGCCAATGCAGAAAAATTGAGCATTTGTGGAAGAAAACCCATCTCCACATCCATCTGCTGCACCTTAAGGATCTTCTGACATCCTTTAACTCTGCAGTCAGAGACGCTAGGGTTTCCTATTTTTCCAACCTGGTGTCCCAGAGCAAAGGGAACCCCAAGGTTCTGTTTAACACCATCCACAGCATCGTCTCTCCTGCCTCTCCTACAGCCTCCATCCACTCTGTTACAGACTGTGAGAACTTTCTCTTTCTTTGTGGACAAAGTCAATAAGGTTAGATCTAGCATCTCTCCTTCAGCCTTATCGCTGCCTCTCCCGACTCCAACCAGGCCCATCATCCTAGATAACGTTGCTCCTGTTTCTTTGCCTGAGTTAACCAAACTCGTTAACTCAATGAAGACCTGTGCACGCCCCCTCCACATCTGACCCTCATCTTTGTTTAATAGTGCTTTTCAGTCCATCGGTCCCAGCGTGCTTTCTATAATTAATGCTTCTCCGGTGTCTGGTCAGGTCCCTGCTTACTTTAAGAATGCTGGAATCTCTAAACTTCCGTTCATCTCCAAGATCTTGGTAAAGGTTGTGGCTAAACAGCTCACAGCTGCTCTTGATGAACATAACATCTATGATTGCTTACAGTCAGGTTTTCGTAGAGCTCATTCTACTGAAACAGCTCTTCATAGGGTCTCTATTGACCTGACACACAGTGATGCAGGGGACTGTTCTGTTCTGGTCCTGCTGGACCTGACTACAGCCTTTGACACTGTTGACCATCACCTGCTACTGGAGAGGCTCAGAGACTGGGTAGGGCTATCAGGAACTTCTCTGCAGTGGTTCTCCTCTTATCTCTCTGAGCGCTCCTTTTCTGTGGCCGTCTCCAAGTTTAGGTCCTCCACCACCTCCCTTACCCATGGTGTCCCACAAGGTTCAGTGCTGGGGCCTCTGCTCTATCTGCTTCCTCTTCAGCACATCCTGAGCTCCTTCGAAGGAATCTCCTACCATCTTTACGCAGATGACATCCAACTGCACATCTCCTTTAAGCCCCATGAGATGTCTAAGCTGCAGCTGTTACACACCTGCTTAGACTCTATCAAAACCTGGATGGCTGGGAGCTTTCTACAGCTGAATGAAAATAAGACTGAGATCCTCATCTGTGCCCCAGACAAGCTGGTTCCCAAAGTCAGAGACTCTCTTGGTCAGCTTGCTTCTCACACCAAACCTTCTGTAAGGAATCTTGGTGTGACCTTTGACCCAGCTCTCACCCTGGATTCTCATGTCAGTTTTCTTGTTCGCGCTTCCTTCTTCCATCTCAGGAACATTGCAAAGCTGAGTCCCATTCTGTCCCGCTCTAAACTTGAGACAGTTATCCACACCTTCATCTCCTCACGCTTAGACTACTGTAACTCTATTTTTACGTGTCTGAGCAGAACCTCCCTGAACCGTCTACAGGTGGTTCAGAATGCCTGTGCTCCCTGAGATCAGTGGACACAGTGGTCTCCTTTAAAAAACAGCTGAAAACTCACTTGTTCAAGCTGGTTTTTGTATGGCCTTGTTCATCATTCTCTCTTTAGTCTGCTCTCCCCACCTATTCCACCTTCCTCAGGATCCACTGATTTCTATTCAGGCCTTTTATCTATTCACTCTCTCTCTTTCTTTACATTTTGTTATCACAATTGTCTATTTTTTGTTCATTTTAAATATATTTTTAACAATTTTCTAAATTCTTTTTGATATTCTTACATTTTTTGTTCTTGTGAAGCGCGTCGTGATTTTTATCTTGAGAGGCGCTATAGAAATTATACTTTCTTCTTCTTCTTCTTCTTCTTCTTCTTCTTCTTCTTCTTCTTCTTCTTCTTCTTCTTCTTCTTCTTCTTCTTCTTCTTCTTCTTCTTCTTCATATTTTGTAAATATTACAATAAATAACACACACTTAGCCTGCATGTAAACTCAGAGTGACTGATCATACTTAAAAAATAACCAATAAAAATGGCTTCACAGTGAACTTTAAATAGGATTAAAGAATGTTACCATATCCTTGTAGTTGGGGTAGAACGTCTGATTGATCAGAGGGAACTTGTCTGCACCCAATCGCTTCTGATAGTTGATCAGCTGAGAGAACTGACGAAACAGGAGAGAAAGAGAAAAACAACAAATGATGAAGGTATGGTAAATTCAACAGGATTCATTAATCATAAATGTCCCAGTGAGAAACTAATTCACATTGTTAAAATGTGTGTGCAGAAAAAACTAATAAAATTTAAAACCTGCCACATGTTAGGCCTGTTTCTATCAGTACTTTTGGGTACCAGACCTTTGCAGCATGGGCATGTCTCCAGTTCACCAGGCCAGCTCAAAAGGACCACTTTCTGGGCCATTTCAGGCGCCAACCAAGCACCCGAGCTGGGGTAGGTACTCGGAAAGACTAGGTAGAGTTGCTGGGTGGGAGTTGTGGGTAACTCATGCTGATTGGTTAAAGCTTACCCAGCCTTCCCACTGGATGGGTAAAGTAATATACATTTTACCCGCAAACTCCCATCTAACCGCAAGTCTTTCAGATGCAAAATGGCAGTAAAGGCGTTCCACGCAGCGGATACCACGAGGTCATGTAATCACGGGAGAACTGCATCACCACGCGTGATTTCAGAAGTCCACACAAACAAGGAGGAAGACAGCTGCATGTATCCAAAAGGTTTGTGGTTTTATTTCTGTTCTGTTTACATCGACTATGGGGTTTTCACAGGAAATGATGCACGTTTATCTGCATCTGACCTTTATTTTGAAAGTTTCCAGATGTTTTACACTGCTTGCGTGTTTGACTTCTTGTCTGGCCCGATCTAAACTGCAGAGTTGACATGTTTTGTAATGCGTAAAAACATACTTGAAGCGTAATCATAATGTCCCTTCACTTCAGGGACGCATCCAAAACTTTGCACTTTACGGTGCAGCTAATTTTTGCGGCAGTTACGCAACGCTTTCACGTTCGATGGAAGAAGGCTTAAGTAGGAAAATTTAATGGCAGATGATGCCAAAACAACAAACATTTGTAAAATTGGAATAGTTTGTTGGTGAAGCAGCATGGAAAGAAAAGGAAATCAGAATTCACGCTTCTTTAAAAGCACAGTTTAAAAACTCACAACCCTGGAAAATTTAACGAAAATCACCCCACAACAACATCATTTAAGGCACTTTGTGTTCTCAGAACATTGTGAAAAATCAACACCTTTTTCTGGTCAGCAAACATCGCTTTTTACATCACACAGCCGCTCTCCCTGTCCCTGGATTTGATTATGGTGCACTTTGAGAGAATCCAACTTTTAATGTTACAAATGTCCGTGGACGCCTGATCAGTGGCATCAATGCCTGCTGAAGTGGTTCTGTATGGAGGCATAACATCATTGGCCATCATTGGAGAACATAGCTGAGTCCTGGTTGTATTTTCTAGATTTGTCCAGTCACATTCTACTAAAAGATTCAGGCTGAGCTCTTTATTTGTAACGTTGACTTACAGCCCAGGGTTTGTCACAGAGGTTGTAAATGGAGTCCAGAGAATTGACAGAGGGGATGCCTGCGTACTGAAGACCGATGATCAAGTTCCTAAAGTCTTCGTTTTGGGCCATGCTGAAGGCATGCTGACGGACCAGGACAAAGTCAGGCCTGAATGACCTGGAGGACAAAATGACATTTAAAAGAAATTTTACTTGGTTAAAAACAAATCAAGATAGTAAGAATGGCTATTAGTCCTAATGTTAGCATTTAATCAATACTGAATAATATAATTTGTCATGTTTTTTTTCCCATTCTTGCTATTAATTGCATGTTTACACTTTTTTTTGTTTCACATTGAAGTCTTTTGCATTCTCTGCTGTGGGATAATTACAAGTAATACAATTTGTTATTGTGTCTGTGATTCTAGCCTTGTAATTACACGATGTCAGACTGAAGGTTAATTATGTTTTATGTCTCTAGATGGAGCTAAATAAAAGACAGAAGTAAGCTCTGTAACCCTCCCACACATTTGGTCCTGTTAGATAATCCGTCCGTCTGTGGAAGGTGAAACTATGCTGTTGGTGACATGTGTCACCGAGGTGGCAGACTGCAGCCAAACAGCCGAGTTAGCAGTTAGAAAAACTGCACTGCAGAGTAGTCTGGTGTCAAGCTACAGAGAGGAAACAAGGTTAAAATCTGCATAATTCTTTAAAATTAAAATTAAAATCAGGATAAATGCTGAATGGCAGAAGATTGCTGCAGGTTTGTGTGACTTGTGGTGAGTCTTCACACAATAACTGTAAAAACCAAAGCAATGGAGCCAGAAAAGCCATTTGAGAACAGCGGGTTAAGGTCGAAACAATATTCGCTGCAGTCCAGCTAGTTGATGCTGATCTGCTGCGACTCTCTGTTGTTTTCCCTTTCGTCTCGGTATGTGAGTGTGAAAGTGAAGGAACACCAGGAGGAGCAGAGCACCAGACAGAGGTGAGAAATGAGATGGACATAAAAAACCCAAATGTGGAGTGGTGTGAGGAAAACACCACTTGTTCTATGGAAGAAATGACACTCGGGGAGATTGGATGCAGTTTGCTACTTTGAGATGATGCTCTAGTATTTCTCAATAAAACGTTCATGCAGCATTACACCTCTAGATGCTGGTGGTTTTGTTGTCTAATCATAAATCTCTCAGATTTGAGGGGGTCTGCAGATTCAGATTTAAGCCTTGGGAGCAAAAGTAGCAGCTTGTTCAGGGAGGTTCAATCGTCTTTGAGGCTTTTCTTCTCATTCAAGCAGAAAATAATTAGGTTTCAAGTGATGTAGCACTGCACTGCATGAAAATCATGTCCTTTATAAATTCTGCAGAAATCTGCAAAATGAACCATCCTTCAAAAACTGATGTGAGGTTTTGAATGTTGGTATAAATGTAACTCTTAAACATAACACAGGTTCATGCCAGAAGATTTAGTATGTTTTAAAGAGACCTCTTACTGTCACATAAATATCACTTGTCTCTTTTTATCGGTTATTTTATTTTCATAAAGCCTGTTAAAAATCCTAAATACCAAAAAAATCTTCACACAATCAAGGCAAAGCAGCTTTATTTGTATAGCAGATTTCACACATCGAAGCAATTCATTGTGCTCTCCAGGAGCAAGAACAACAAAAACGTAAAACATTAAAGTCAACTATACCGTTAAAACTATTCAAGTTTTTTTTATTTTTTGAGGGTGTCAATTTTTTACTTCCTCAAGCTATTTCAGAGGAGTTGTAAACATTATTTTTTTAAGCTTAGCAGTTCAAAATTAAAAATGCTGAAAATGTCAATTTTGTCAAAAAAAATTCAACTGGTCAAAATTTAGCAGAATAAGATGCAGGACGCCAGAGCCCTCTTAGGAGGACGCAGGGTCCCAAGAAGATATAGTATTTTCCTGAAAGCGTATTTGTAATTTGACCTGGCTGAGCAGATGGAAGGTAACCATGCATGCATTCACCGAGAGCTCAGGAAACGCTTCAAGACTGCAGCTGAGACTAAATCAGCAGGAGTCCAAATGAAGTCAAACTGTACAGACTGGTGATCTGAATAATGAAGCTGCTGTCTTCATCAAAAAAGTCATTAAAGAAACAGTTAATTTTTTATGATATTGCCTGCAACATAATTAAAATATTTAAAATGAAGAGTTTAGAAAAGGAAGGAAAAAGTTGTAGATTGTTTAGTGACATGCTCAGAGGCACGATGGAGGTTACTAAGCAACATGCAGTCTCCGAGCCATTAGGAAACCACTGCTGCGAATTGAAATCGATGGACACGGTGCAATTACGGAGACAAATGTAGATAGTTAGGAACGTCAAGGTCTGAAAGCTCTTGTGCTGAAGTCGGACAAAGGACTGATGTTTGTGTTGTAAACCTAATGGCCGTCTCCACGGTAAACTTGTATTTGGGAGAGGAGAAGATGGCTTCAAATGACCATTTATTTTATGATTCAAGCGTGCATGACTCCACCACATCTTCAGTATGAACCTGTTTGCATGAGCATGATTACAGGGTTACTGCCTCTGTCCTCATTTCCTGTTAGTTCAGTGCAGCTGAGCAGTGGATGTTGTAGTTTGAGTGTGTGTGAGTTTGTCTGATTTATTGTAGTTTAATGCTTTTGTGTGCACCTTTGGGTTAACCCTTATTGGTTGTAGATCTGCGTAAACAAGACAGTAAAATCTACTCAATGACACGCGTGTGTGTGTGTGTATGTGTGTGTGTGTGTGTGTGTGTGTGTGTGTGTGTGTGTGTGTGTGTGTGTGTGTGTGTGTGTGTGTGTGTGTGTGTGTGTGTGTGTGTGTGTGTGTTAGTCTGACCTGACCCCTTTAATGCCACTCCTGATGACCTGCACGTCCACATTGACAGTTCCATTTGAATGTGCAATAAGGTTGATGTCGCAGAACTCTGCCTACATGGACAGAAAAAGAACAGAGAACAGTTTAAACTTGTCATTATGTTAATAAATGTCATCACTTTTAAAGAAGAATATTTCATCAATACACTGCCGGTGTTTAAGATCAGTATTTTTTGTGCAATCAATTTGGTTAAAAAGAGAAACATTATGCTTATTTTAAACACTTCTATGGTTGATGCAAAACATTTTTATGAAGTTCTTTGCACTAATCCCTCTCACGTAAAGCAATTTTAGCAGTCAAGATTTTCAGTACCTTCCAGAAGGAGTCATTTTGGGGCTCTGTCCCTTTAAGAAAACAAGCTGGAGCAGGCCACACCCACCCACCCCTTGCTCAGGCTGCTATAAGCTGAGAAGCTCTGATATCCAGTAGGAGCTTGGAGTAGAGCCGCTGCTCCTCCAGCATGGGAATATAAGAGGTGGTTCTAAGCAAATTTCTATACAAAGTCCCCAATTTTGATGTCATAAATGAGGACTTCTTAAAAGAATCAATTACAGGTGTGAAACACTCTTTTAATCAGTACATGTCTCTCTAGTAGGAACTAGAAGTTAGCCACAGCACAGGTGAGCTTCAGAGGGCAGGTTTTGGAGTCTAATTTCCTGACATTTGGACATCTCGCTCCAGATCGGGAAGTTGGCTTGTGTTATCTTCACAAATAACAAGCCTGGAGGTGCTTCTGCTGTGTGGAGAAGCTGCTAATGCGAACGGTTATCTTTTACTAGTTGAGACGTTCTCTAATATTTCCTGGATGTTAAACCAACAGCAGCCTTACCCGTCATGAGTCAAGATGGGTGAGTCCATGAAAGTTTAGGTGACAGCAGGGGCAGCGTTAGGCCCGGCTACTTGGGCTGAAGCCCTAGATGTTTTATGAAAAGCCTGGGATCTAAATCGCGGAAGTAACATATAGTACCAAAGTCCAACAGAGAGGGAGCAGCTGGCAGTAGTTTGTATACAGCCTGCCTGAGCCTCCACCACTGAAGAAGAAGCCCTTCAGCAGCTGGCTTCTTCTACACTCTCTGCCTGAAACGCATGAGTGAAGATGGACATAAGGACGTTTTTTAGACAAAAAGTACGGCGACAGGACCCCAGCTTTGATGAGACTGGTGTTGACTCACGTTTTTGAATCTTATTCGAAAATATTTGTTGTGCTGCTGGTTTGCCTAAAGTTAGCTTACTATCAGGTAAAGTTGTTGGAGAAAGAAAGGGAATATTTACTATCATCTCACACTAAACACTAACAGGAACAATACTCTGCCCTGAATATGCTTAATATATAGCTTCAGATTAAAAATTATGTGGTACAAGACAAATATATATGTTGACTAGTGCGTGTCACGTGTGTGTGTGCGCGTATGTGTTAAACCCCGGATCTTCTTCAGTCCTAAATCCGCCCCTGGATGACAGTTGATGTAGATCTGTCAGGCTTTTCTAATCCTAGAGTTTCACCATCTATTTTCAGAAACTAATGCAGTAGATCGGTGTAGGATAATATTTTCATGTTCAGCTTGTGTGAAAAACTCATTGTGACCTGTTATAATCTTTTTTTTCAGTGTTCCACATCTTTAAAGCATGTACACTGAATAAAAATACACATACAAAATTTCATACACACAAATTACTCTGATGGGTGCTGTTGACGAATAGGAAGCTGCATTGTGACCAATCACAAGCTTGCACGCTCCATCACTTTGACAGATAGTTAAAAAAAATTGGGCTTGCCTATGTAAGCCTAGCCTGTTGCAAAGCCTTTGCATCGACGCATAATGGCGTTGTGTGTGTATACCCACTCAGATGGAGAAGTATAAATTATGCACACCTTTTGCACACCTGAGCAAAATTCATACTGTCTAATCAACACCTTGATAAGGCACACCAGTGGTGGGATGGATTATCTCGGCAAAGTGGAAGTGTGAACAATATTTGAGAGTAAAGGGTCTCAGCAATGAGTGAGAAATCGTTAGTGCTTGCACTTTTGTAGCCTACCTCATATTTATTTCAAAATGCACACATTTTCAGTGCCGTTGCTGTTTTTTGAATATTTTCTGTTGCTGCTCTTTGCTGTGGCTGAGAAGACGAGACAGTGTTTATCTGACTCATAGCTCCCGACCTCTGTCTCGTTTGAAGCTCACTTTACTTTTGTGGTGAGGCTTGAGGTTGAAAAGTAATATCTATTAGGTGGGAAACTGTTTTACGTGAATCCCTAACAAATGTCCTCTCAGATTTGGTATGGAATGGTTTCCTGGTAAGCTGGCTAAACCAATATGAAACCAACACACCCTCCAGCTTTACCCAATACACTGAAGTAGAGAAGTAAGGTGTTGCTCTCCCGTACTTCTTAAATTGTGCGTTACCATTTTGGCCTGCAGGTCAACCACACTGTAGAGGTCATTGTGCACTCTGGCTGCTTTTGCTGTGACTCTTGTTTAACTTTTGCCTTATTTGGTTGCTAAAATGTCACTATTGACAACATGGGCTGCACAACATTTCTCAATCCGAATCAGTTTTTGAACTCTGAATTTGACCAAATTCTGTTTAAAATCACAAATTTAACCAACAATACTCTTTTAAATTGACCAAGTATTACACAAGCTATAAAACGGGTACATGAAGAGAAATGTCAGTTGACAATTTGTAGGCGTATTTCATGAATGTAAATATACATTCTAAAAAATAGCTACAGTACCAGGCCATCCAAAGATGTGCCTTACTTTAAAGGTGCAATTTGTAAGAATGCTACAGTGAAATAATCACAAAACAGTCTAATGTCTCAGTCATGTTGGAATGACATTTATACTGAAACAGATTTCATTCTCAGCCAGCTGGGGGTCGTCATTTTTCCCCTTTTGACAAAAATGAAAGCACGTTGGAGTTACTGTTTACACTGAGTTTGTGTCTCCTGCAAGCTAATGTAGCCGGCGCCATACAGGCATTAGTAATTCGACACCATCAGGTAAAAAGCTCCAGTTATTTAAAGAACCAAAACCAGTAAACTGGAGTGACACAAGTTATTTCTTGTACCCCTAAAGCCGGGCGTACACTGTGCAACTTTTTCACTCGTAGCACTCAGCTTCAGCTCAAACTGTATGACTTCCTCGCAGGGCAGATCTCACGAGCCATGTGCTCACACTGCACGGCCCAGTTCTCGGATGCGACCTGACTGCTCACACTGTACGTCTGGTAGCAACACGTCGGACCTAAAAATATGCTAAAAATAGCAGTTTTTACTCAACACGTCAGACTTTTTTGTCTTGTTTTGCCTGTTGTCCTTCGGGAGTGCTGCAGGGGGACACGCAGGGATTTATGGGGGTTGGATGAGGAAAATGAAATAAAGAAAGTAAATCTGTGTTTTGTGATCAGTTTAATTTGACATGAACACGACAAACACACTTTCTTGACAATCTTTGTGAGCAAAAAAAAACAAGTGTAGAAATAAAAATGAACAACGTGTGTTATTAGGGAAATAGCGAGCGAGCGGTGTTGATGCAGGATTGCGCATGCGCCGTGAGCGGTTCTGGTATCTTTTGGGTCGCAGCTGCTCGCAGCGCCGCTTCAACAGTGCGATACCCTCACGAGGGACGAGCAAAATATCAAACACGCCAGAAGTTTGTGCGAGCTCACGATTGCTGATCGGTAGCTGGTCACGTGGTGTTAATCGCCTCTCGTAACCCCCTGTACACTACACGACGATCGGCGCAAAACTCGCCCCGATGTCGTGGATTCTCGCACGAGTGGAAAATCGGCTCTTAAAAGTGAAAAAGTCGCACAGTGTACGCCCGGCTTTAGAAGCCACAACATCTTTTTGGTTTAGGCCTACTCTAAGAAAGAGTGAAGGAGGCTAGCTAACAATAACAAACAACAAGGAATTAGAAGCAAGCTTTAAAAATATCTCAAGCTACTTTTTCAATTACCATCAACTTAATATTAGAGTGAAATGTATGTGTGAAATGAATAATGAGTCAATTGTGGGGTTTTGCCTCCTTTCAGAGCAGCAAGCTACCGTACCATACCATACCATACCATACCATACCATACCATACCATACCATACCATAGTTTATTTCTATAGCACTTAAAAACGCAGCATGGGAGCTGCCCAAAGTGCTGCACAGGCTAAAACAAAACACGACCAATCTAAGGAGCTAAAACAGAAGATAAAAATACCAATCAAAAGCAGATAAAACATGAGGAATACTAAGAACACATTAAAACAAAACACAATAAAACACTAAAACGAGTCACTGTCTAAAAGCCAAATCATAACAGTGGGTCTTTAAACGAGATTTAAGAACCGCCAGTGATGGAGCCTGCCGAACTCCAATGCAAGATAGCATACAACAACACTTCCTGTAATGTCAGAGACAAACTACCTTAATAAGTGTAGTAAGTGCTCCTGTCGTATAAAACCCAAGAGTGTCAACATCTGATATGACAATGTATTTATCTACTTATGAACTTCCTGAGCAGTGACGTGTGGTGAGATTCATGACTGGGGAGGCACTGACTGCTCTTGCTCTGGAGTCAGACTTACAAATATATGATCCTGAGATAAGCCTGGCTGATTCTTTGCACCAACTTCATGTTTCAGTGCGTGTGTGCGGCACTGCTCTGTGAGAACGGAGGAAGCGCTCATCTCTTCCTTCAGAAGGCACAGGGCCATGCACACTAGAAACAGGGAGTTGGTGCATGCACTCTGTCTGAAACAGTTAGTGTGTGTGGGGCAGGTCAGGGAGAGCAGAGGCAGGCTCGTCTCTGTCTCTTCGGACTTTTGCATTCAGCTTTGATCAGAAAACAGGTAAATTTTATAGGTAGATTTTGACCACAAACATTTCAACAGTCAGTTGCCACATTGACTTTATTTTAAATCATTATTAGTATTTTACTTGTCATGATGACACCTCCCTTGCATCCTCTGACTGCATGTCACTGTTACTGTGTGTGACTCGTCTTTGCTTGTCATCTAGATTCTTCTGGTGCTGATCGATAACTGGCAACAGCCATGAAACACATGGACCGGGAGTGAGAATGTAACTTTTTCCTCTAGAAATGAACTGCAGTACCCACATTTGACCACAGGATGTCATTCTTACAAACTGCACCTTTAAATAGTTTTGGTCGATGCAGAAATAAACATACCGGTATATCTCTAGTATGTAGTAATTTGCTGTTATTAGTCCTGTCATGATGTGCATCTGACGCTTGTGAATAAATTTCCTTATTGAACAAACTAGATTTTTTTTTGTCAGAGGATCAATAAAACAGTCCAGACACAGATTTATCAGTATGTGAGTGAAACCAAACAGGACCTCATCTCTGTTGTCAGTTTTATGATCCTATGAACCTGTTTTTATAAATTATTCTGATATATTATAGCTAAAAAAAATAAACAACCATACCTGCTCCACTTTGATGTCATAATCTCCAAGGACCTTCTTTCCTCTGAACACTTTTGCCCTGAAAGAGAAAAGAAGAGGTTTAAAGTTTCACATTCTTAAACTCGCAGATGTCTTTGCTGCTCTCTAGTGAACAACACCCCTCCTGTTTAGCAAGTGTAACAGAAAATGGATGCCTGCATGGAGCTTTCAACAGCTAAACTTTAGGAAACCATTATTTTGTAAAAAGATAGTTTCTCAAAATTCTAAAAATTTATTTAAAGAAATAGAAGAAAAATAATATTTTTTGTTAAAACATTAAAGCACGACTTGCATCATATAATATAATAGTGACTGTAGTCATAGTTTCATGGGCTCTTCCTAATATAATTTAATTCTAAGAAAAGCCACAGAGGCAGACAGATGGAGAGAAGGCAGGGAGAGACAAAAGGACGAAGATAAAAAGACAAGCAAAGGGACATTAAGGATGCTGACCAAAAAGAAGTTCTATAATAATAATAATAATAATAATAATAATAATAATAATAATAATAATAATAACAACAAATGATTTCCATTCCCTCACTTCATAATTAATCCTCTTCTTGCTGAATTTGTACATTATAGTTTTTTCTGATTAATCCACAAAACACAAATTCATGTTTGTTTTGTGAAAAAAGTCAATTCTTGTCCAAGTTTTTCTACAGGTTTTAAATCCTTGACATACATTTTATCTGTTGAATATACCTGAAAATATTTTTCTCACTCATGATCTTTTGCAACAATTTAAAGCATCTGTTTTTTAGATCTGATTTATCAGAATTGCCTATTTATTTATTGTGTGTGTGTGTGTGTGTGTGTGTGTGTATATATATATATATATATATATATATATATATATATATATATATATATATATATGTGTGTGTGTGTGTGTGTGTGTGTGTGTGTGTGTGTGTGTGTGTGTGTGTGTGTGTGTGTGTGTGTGTTTCACAATCCCTCATGAACCACTGGACAGAGTTTAATGAAACCCTCACAAAGTAATTACTGGATGTAAATCTACAACTGATTAACTTTTGGACTCAAGTCATGATGACCGCCAGAGCTAATCTATAAAAATCACACACACAAAAAAATCCCCAACACACACTCTGGGATATTTAGTTCTTGAACTGAATCCACCTCGCAGATGGATTGTGTTGTTTTTCCTCTAAACTGAATAAAGGTCTCTTCTTGAGTTAACCTGGCTAAGAATGAAATGCATCCAAGTTTGGACAAATCAATCATTGATTGTTAAGCCCACAGAATTCACAAAAGTGCAATAAAACATTGATGCTGCAGAGTTTTACCTGCATCGTGGGATAATGTTTGTGATGACAGGTGTTCCATCTGCGGAACTCAGCTGCAGAGTATGTTGAGCTAAAATCTCCCCCTGACACATTTTTTTATGGGATCTGTGAATATGTTATCAACCAGATGTACATCTTCACAACTGGCAAGTCAGAACCTAGAGCTGTTATTTATCCTATGCACCAAATCCAAAATCCTGAAGGTTTTGGATCTTAGTTTTCAACTGCAAGGCTTCTTTTTAACCTCATTCTTTTCCAGCTGAATGCTTCTGTTTCACCCACCGACCCACTGAGATACTCGGTGATGTGATTGTTTTGTAAGAGTGACTTTTTGAAGCCGTTTGAAGACTGCTGAGGCTTAAAATGAAATCCGCAAAACTGTAAAACCATCTCACATTTGTGAAACATGCGACCAAAGGCTTGTGTTATGTTGGACCAGCGCCTCTGTCAAGCTGCCTAGAAATCAGGTTATGCAAGAACCGAGCTTGATTCAGAGCTTACAGTAGGGTGTTAGCAAACTGAACTGTACCTGTGACTGAACAGAAAATGATAGCAGCAACAAGCACAAATGTAAATGTGTTTTTACATCCCACCAGGCCTAAATTCACATCATTTAATTAGATATTTTTCTTTTTTATAACTTAAAGTGACGATGTGAATTTTCCCTGTCGATAGGGGGCAGTACATACCTAAATCATTGCAAGAAAAGCTGTATTTTATTGTTCCAGTAAGACCTTACCTACGGATGGCCATTAGGGTCAAAAACCCCTGGGAGCGCAATGAATGGTGAAAGTTTGTAACCACTTGTTTGTCCTCACAGGTAGAAGGAAACATGGTGTCTAATGTGACGTCACCCAGAGACTTAGACCCGCTCCCATGTGTTTTAGACCTGATTTTTATTGTTATATTACAAAGCCACCAATATTTTTCAACAACTGGGCATCATGTAATTAATTTTCTGCAACATTTAGATGTTTTAATCCAGAGATTAATGATACACACTTCACATTTTCTCTTTAAACATCATTTAATTAATTTCAATCCCACTGAAGTGATGCATCAAGAAGGTAATCTTTAAATTACATGTAATGTCTCTTAAAAACAAACAGCTTTGAATGCCAAATTTTACTGCTGAAGCATCTCATAAGTGATTCTCACAAACATTATCATAATTTTGGGTGTTAAAAGGTTTTATTTAGCTGTGAACTGGATCAGTATGAATGAGTATAAAACAAACCAAGAGGCAGAGGGAAGATGTGGTATAAAGCAAAAAAAAAAAAATTTTTTTTCAAATTCATTTAATAAGGATTTTAATACACGTGACAATTTGAGATGCAAGTGCTATTTTTAATGAAGTGATAAAGTATGGTAATAATGTTTCACTTGCTGGTAAAACATCCATATTTTCTATAAATACGTTTTTAGTGAAGTTGTTTTTTCTTTCTTCCTACAGTCCAGTTGGGCCCTACTTCAGGTTTAAAATGCGCTCCAAGTGGTCGACCCTCATGTCCAAGGGTTAAACAAGATAATCCATGGGATTTTATTTCAAACCTCACATCCAGTTTGAACACTGTGAGAATATTAACAGGCTTGAAAAGCCTTGAAGATCATTTCAAACAGTCAAGGAGCTGAAAACTAAAGGAAGCTAAATTTATTCTTAAAGGGTGAGTTTAAGAAGGAATATGAATAATTATTAGAACGTAACTGAGAGCAAAGTGGGTTATTTGTAGCAGTCAGAATTACTGATTGTAGAATATAATTATTATTAGGACACATATGAGGACCAATAATAAATAGATCAAAGATGTTATTTCAATGAACAAACATTTAAAAAATCTGCATAGCAGAGCAAAATTAATTATCTCTGTTTAAATTTGTTTTCTGTTTTAATCTGAAAATACAAATATCACGTGTGAAGATGAGCCTTTTTTATTAATTATGTTTACCTGATTTACATTAGTTAGATATCAGCATTAAAATAATCAGCCAATTAGATTATATTTGTCGGTTGGGGCTTCAAACCATTTCTAACAGAAATTAGTAAAAATCTGATGAGAGCATCTGGAGTGACTGAGACTGAAATGTGCTCATTAACGACATTTAATTATGACTTGGTTACTGTTACTTATTAATTATAAAAACCATAATTTCTGATTATATATATATATATATATATATATATATAATTTGTTTTGGAGCTTTTTCATCATGGCTTTCAGAAAGTGGAATAATTATTCATCAGACTTAAGTAGCACCCAATTCGACCAAGCCCTGCTTAGCTCTATGCAGCACTGAATAACACTGCTCAGCCCTGCTGGCTCAATCTTTTCCCATCATCATTTGATGGGATCTCAGTTTCATTATTGATCAGAAAAGCCAATGGCTGGAGAGAGAGAGAGAGAGAGAGAGAGAGAGAGAGAGAGAGAGAGAGAGAGAGAGAGAGAGAGAGAGAGAGAGAGAATGATGACAAGGAAGGATGGGAGGAGAATACAAAGAAGAAAAATTGACGTCTTTATTGCAACTGAGAAGACAGCAAGTGAATCTAAATAAAATAATATAAAATGTTATTATTGCACAATGTAATTTCACACAATAATAAAGGTTGCGATGCATCAATAAAACAAAGGTCAAGCAGTGATGTAATTGTTACCCAGCTTCACACAGACTTATACCTGCTAAAAGGTCATCAAATAGGAACAATTATCCCATGAATCACACTCTCAGAGCTAAATTTTACATCCTGTGACGAGTTTTAACTGACAGGAATGGACCAAGATATGAAAACTGTTTTATTGAGACCAATTTGTCATTTTCTGAATGTGCCTGTCCTCTTTTCCATCCGTGTCACTTTTTTCTCTTTCCTATGAATGAGATAAAGTTTTCTCTCTACTTTGTGATTAATTATTTTCACTCATCTGTTCATCTGCACTTCCTGCTGTTATCACTACCAGATAGAAACAAAAATGTGATATCCAGATGGACGTGAACATAGCTACATGCTCTACTTGTAAAAAAATGGGGCAACAGGGTTGAAAGTGAAAACTAGATGTAACGATCAAACTTTACTGCTGCTTGTTAACGATTCAATTACAGTCATATCTATTTTCTTCATTAGATAATTACTGATGCTGTGAAAAGTTTTGGTCCACATAGGGAGAATAATTATTCTAATTATCATCAGACCACTGCCTCTCTGCTATATTGGAGCCCCTTTGATCCGCCCTGTTCTCTTTTTCTTTCATGCTGACTGCTGCAAAGGCATGCCGTCACCACATTTCACCTTCACATGGGACGTCTATGCAAAAACAAAGCGTTCGTGGTCAGTTGCAAATACTTACTATCATTTTAGGTATGATTTCACTTCCCGAACAGCCTCTGTTTGGAGAAATGGCGTTTCAAACCTACAGAACTGCTAAAACCCGGTTCACATGGCAGGATTTTAATAATACACACATATTACACACTACACACAAACTTAGTTCAATCATGGACATGTCATGCTGTGACGGGAAATCTCGCAAGATTAAGCGTGACTTCGAAGTGAACAAACATGGTGGAGGAGGAGCACGCAGAGTACATTTTTCACCTCGCTGTCTGATTGGCTAGACGTCACATTCAACAGAAAACACATTTGTTTGTCCCTGAGAATCAGACCAAAACATGTTTGAAAGCCTGAATTTATGATCAGAACAATTCCTGACATGCTTCTGAGCAGACCAGAGTGCTTGTAACA